ACCAGTAGAGTTTGGTGGAGTAGTTTCTATATGAAAAATGAATCTTTGAATCTGGCTGATAACAGAAACAACATATGTGGTGTATTCTGGGGTATTTCTGGAGGTTTGGAACTAATTTGAGACTGAACATTCAGCTCCTGAAGGTCTAGAGCAAGCTGTGTTCCAATAGATGGGTTTCGGTTATGCCAAGATCTTTGTTGAGAAGACCCAGAAGGGTTGGATGATTGTTCGAGAGGCTCAGTGGGGTTTGACATGGTAATGGTTGATTGGGAACCATCAGAAGGGGCTGATGACCCAGAGTGCAGCAAACTTTGACTAGCTGCACAATCCAGCCTTCTCCTCTCATTTTTCCTCTTCAACTTCTCTGCACGGAGTATCTCATCTGTGGTTGGCATCTAGAATATATTTAAATTAATCCCATTAAAGTGTGAATCATAACTATTCCTGCACTTACTATCTCAGTGTGTACACAGTATTTAAACAGATAAGGTCTCTGTAAAGAAAAGGTCCCCTCTTACAGGCAAATTGAACAAATTTCTTATCATGAAGCAGGGAACAGGCCCACTGCACAAGTTGACAGTATGGAGCAAGGCTGACGTATTTTCCAAAAGGAAAAAAGGGGCCAGGAATCCCTGCAACTTGCAGGCTCTGAGCGGTGCTGGTCTTAAACTGCCGAACTGATCCCAGGCTGTGTGGGCTACCACAGGGGCTGGGGGGCAGGGGTTGCACTTCAGAGACCTTTGAACCTTATAGATCTACTCCAGACAGTACTCTTTATGCAATATCCTAAGCCCAGGGCACACAAGACTCCACAGAAATAGGACCTAGTGCACACAGAGAGTTGTGGCAAGAAGTTGCAGAGAGTTGCACACATTGCGCATGTTTAGCGCATGTTTGCAGCACAGCCTCATTTGCACCCGTGCAACCACCTCTTTATGCACTGACAAAGATAAAAGCTCATATTTTACTTAAATCATACACAAATGACCCTTAATAATAGTTACTATTTTCTCCAAATTTACTGACTATCCCAACCTGCAAAACAAGTGTTGTGAGTACAAATGCTCAGTGCGCGAGTGTGAGCCATTTGGATCCGGTGTCCCACGGGGGGACCATTTCTCACGGGGGGACCATTCCCACACAGTACAGCCATGCACCTTCACGTGCTTCGTTCCCACGGAAAAAAATCTGACCCCCCTCTGGAAACAAAAGCCTCGCAAGCTTGGCCAATAATTTCGGAGGCCCCCCCATCCCAGATCATCTCGGATCATCCCAGATGCCAATCCCGGATCAAGAATACATCCTGACCCCCAATCCTAATCCGGCATCTGGGATTGAAAATTCTGGATCATCCAGGATAATCTGATCCACCCGGAGCCCTAGTTGGGACTCTATGGTGCTTCCCAAAAGGGCAAGGCCAAGAGGGGAAGGAGTGGAGGGGGTTGTGGGGAATGACAGCTGACTAATATGGAAAGGAAGCAGCTGTCTAAATAAGGAGGAGGCAACAAGAGAATTAAATGACACCATACAGTAGAGACTGCAGGGTCCGAAGTTCTGGAGGTCCGGAGTCAGAAGTCTAAGTCCAGAATATTGGCAAGACATAATAAATGAAATGCGATAAGGAATACAAGGAGATAAGATGGAGGAGAAGGTCAAAGTCTGGAGGTGGAGATGTGACTGGAGTTCCAGAGGTGGAGGTGTGATGGGGTTCCGGTACAGGAGTCCGGAGCCAGAGGTGTGGAGCATCACAAACTCTGGTCTGGAAGGTATGAGGTTGGGATTGGACCCAGAGTAAACCGGAGTCGGACTGGAGGTAGTGTTGGACATTGTGTTGGAGCCAGAGGTAGAGTGGGCTCTCAACAACCAACAGGGGGAGGAGGTGGTGGAGGATGTGGAGTTCTGGAGGAGGAGATGGAGGTCCAGAAACAGGAGTGGAGGTCTAGAGTTGTATGGATATGACACGTACCCCTGGTCCATCTTGGACAATCATCAGGGATTCCTTATAAAATTCAAAAAGTCAAGCTTCAGAACTTCTTCGTAGGTGGATCTCTCAGTACTACTGTCTCTTTGTAGTCAAAAGGGAGGTCTCCTTTCCATTCCTACATGTACAGGACTTATAAATGTATGGAACAGTAATAAAGTGGAAAAACAAATGAAAAGAAAATATAAAACAAAAGATTGTTGTCAAAGAAACCATGTGGATAGTTATGTATGGCTGATAAGTCCAATGGCCAATGCAGAAGTTCAATAAAAAGAAAATAGGAGGAATAAGCAGGTCATATCCACCAATAATTGCCATCTTCTACCCTTGTCCATCTCCTCCTACCCATAGCATCCCTTCCCAACCTCTCCATTCGATTCCCCTGGTCCATAGGTTTCTGTCAATACCAAATTTGTCCCAAATGGTTGAGATTTGACTGAGTGGTGGGCATGAGAATTGTAAAATTGGCCTGTGTGCAGGGTTAGACATCCCAGAAAGTGTCCAGAAAAGTTCCTAGGTCAACTAAATCTGTGTTTGCATGTTTTGTGATTTTTCTGAAATTTTCCGGGCACTCCAGAGTGCATTTTGATAGTTTGTTTACTTCAGTATGGCTTGTGATTTCCATTTTGGGCTGAAAACCAGTTTTGCAATCTCCCAAAGTACAGATCTCAGCTCTGCTGCATGGGACTCTCAACACCACCACCCTCACATGCCTTTCAACATTGTGCAGAACCTCACAGTAAGGTAAGAAATCATCACCACTGTTACTCCTCAACAGCTGGGTCGATCTGGATGAAACTTGGGAAATCCATATTTATTATTTTTCTCTATTTTCTGAGCACTTGCTTGTCTCTTGGCAACCAGCAGCACCAAATGAAATTTTTGGGCTGGAGCAGTACTAGCACCTTATGCAGAATTGTACTCCAAAAAAATGAAATAAAATGCGTTTACACTCTGTGAGCATTGGCAGATGGTCCTCACATGTGGGAAACCCATAAGGAACATATAGTGCAAAATATATTCTGGTAATGAAGGGTATAGTAGGTTATCCCACCTACACTGCCCCCTCCATTCTCCTTTTGGGTTGTTATCCATTAAACCCATAACCCAAGTTGCCAGTAATATTCAGTTGACTAACCCTTGACCCTGTTATGTCAGCTCCAACCAGCCCCTGCCATTTATGGGCCTGCCACCTAGACTTCCCATGTATCTATATATACCATACTTGTAGATACTGGAAACCCTAGTCAATAATCAACCAAAGTTTCCCCCTTTTCTAGTAGACTCTTCCATTCGAAAATTAGGGCCCCAACATGTTACTGGGCACAGTGCTCCTGGCCTGAGTCGCTGAGGCTGCAGCCCTCTGAAACACTGAGTCATCTTTCCCACTTTGAATCCGGTCTTTGACAGTATCCAGCAGTTAGAAATCCACAGATATGCAGATCAACCGCAGATTATTGATAATATGTTCCAAAATTGTATTTTGTTAGAATGACCCTGATGAGAGCTTTCTAACAATACCAAATATGTCCATATTGGTGGAGAACTGACAGGGATATGGGGAAAATGGCACAAAAGATGGACGTCAGATGCCAAATTTGGAAATAACAGGTCTGAGTGGTTAGATAGGACTTGGAAAAATTGGAAAGAAATATGGAAACATAGGAGGGGTATCTAGGAAAGTGGGATATATTTTATCCACAGATAATCCACCTATCTGCAGATTAGAAACCGCGGATATTATCCTCTCAAAAGCCAAATCCGGATCCACAAATTTTCGGATAAATCTGCAGATATCTGAGTGTCATCTGATCCACTAGGAGCCCTACTTGTATGCAAGTTCTGATTGTATTTACAGACTGCACATATGTATAGGTAAAGGAACAATGAATCAGTTCTCTTACTTGAGACTGAGACCGCGCATATAGCTTATTTTCATTACAAACCCGGACTAAAAATACTTATGTAGCACATTGGGTGTTTGTTGGCATGCAGTATAGGTGCCATTTATATCATGCAAAATGGATTTGAAGTCCCATTGTAACAGGGTGCCCAAGCATTGAGATGCATTGCAATGCATTGCAACGCGTCGCAACGGATATCACGTGACGTTGCGGATCTGTAACTTTTCCGACTAATAGGGCGATTATGACGCCGTATTGTTCAATGATTTCACAAGGTCCGTCATGCGGTTTATTAGGTCGATCTGATCGAAGATTAATGAAGGCATTTGTTGATTAGGAGAGGGGCTATGGGGGATAACTTATTCATTAGGGCCGTGGTTATGATCGTGTATTCGGCGTGAGTACCGTCACCGGTCTGTAGTTTTCTATTTCCCTCTTGTCTTTCTTTTTGTAGAGGGGGCAGAGCCAGCCTTCTGATATTTGGGGGCAGGTTGTGCCGTTTCTTTCGATGTCGGTCGCAAGGAGGGTCAGTAGGCTCACGACCGGTTTTCATTTCCTTATTTTTCCATCTTATGTCTAGTTTTTTATATAGTTCCGTGGGGATGCCGTTGAGGCCGGGTGCTTTCCCATTGGGTGATTGGTTTAGGGCTGTCCTTGGCTCAGTGGGGCTGCTAGGTTGTCGGACATGTGGTAGTATTCGGTTTTGGATGTTGTTGAGGGAGTTCACTATGAGGGGTTCTGTCATTTCCTGTTAATCCACAACTTCCTGTCATGGTCGCTTTGCAAATGCGTGAAACAGTCCACGTCCAACTACCACACTCCAACTTCATGCAGTAGCTGTCATTTGATGATGTAGGGAATCCGCCGCGGGCACTTCCATAAGGGGCGTGTCCGGTCTCTTCCCATCCACCATGTCGCTGAAGCAAAGGATTCACGACCTTCCTGCGACGGGTGGTGATGTCGTAGTACCAGTTCTCACCGCAGTCAATGCTGCCTCAGGTGTGCTCCCTCCCTTGCAAGCAGCCACCGATGCCGCACTCTTTATCCTCAATGAAGTCAAAGTCAGCAGTGACTTGTACTGAGTTAGGAACGAATGTTGATGCTTGCAATGGTAGGAGTTCAAGGAGAATAAGGAAGAATGGGAGCGTTTTGGGGAATATGTCGCAGGCGCCGTGGCAGCCATCGATTCATATAATGCGTCCGGCGAAGAGGCGACGCCGTGGGTGGAGAATGTCACAAAACTGAACCAGTACGTAGCATTTGCTCTAGGTAGGCCCTTGCCGTTGTATGACACAGGTACTTCATAGGGTATTGCAGCGCATTCAAACGGAAGTTGGTCAGCTGCGTGGAAAGATGGAAAGGAGGTCCAGCGTCCGTAACTTCTTCTCTCATCTGAAAAGCCCAAGCAAGATAGGTGATTTAGAGAAAGATTTTAACGAGGTTTTGGCATTGTTCCAGGAAATTATGCTCAATCCTTGCGCTTATGTTGCCATTTTAATCTTATTATCGTAACCATGCAGCTGGGGACAGACCTGATATTTGGCACAATAGCGGGTAATCAAGATCGGTCCATTCGTGGAGTAGACAATTCCTCGGTTCTGGACGAACTCAAATATCCTATCGTTGCCCATCACGATTCCACCGAGGCGTGCCTGGAAGGCACCAGGACTGGTTTGATCGAACGCATTATGACCTGGTGTCGTAACGCAGAAGACAGCGAGAAACGTATGTTGCTACTAACGGCCGTGGCCGGTGCGGGCAAAACATCTGTTGCACACTCGATCGTGGAGGAGTGTGCGAGAGAAGGGATATTGTTATTGAGCTTCTTTTTCAAGGTGGGAGAGCAGTCGCAGCCGGACCATTTGTTCAGCGGCGTGGCTCGATCACTGGCGACGCACGACCCAGCATATCGATCTTACATCGTGTCCGTCATCCAGAAAGATCCAACCCTCACAACGGCTCCATTCACAACGCAATTCAAGAAGTTACTGGCCGAGCCCCTCTGTCTGAAGGCATCGCTTCCCAACCGTCCTGTGGTGATCGTCATTGATGCTCTAGACGAATGCGAGAAACAAATGGTCGGACACCTTGCCGACATACTTTGGGAACAGGTGCCCAAATTACCCTCCAACATCAAATTCTTCGTGACTTCGAGGCGATTTGACCTTGTTGATCGTTATCTCTCACGTTTTTTCTCTGTTGATCGCCTCAGCATTAATCTTTCGGATGATGCTAACAGGCGGGACTGCAAGATCTACATCCGTGCGCAGCTGCGCAAACTGAAGAATGAGCGCCCTCGTATGAAAGCTGCACTCAAGGACGAGAATAAATTGGCCCGAGATCTGTTGGAACGAGCCGGGGGGTTGTTCATTTGGATTAGTGCCGTGTTCCGCTACTTGAGGGTGGCCAGTGGTGCTTCTATGAAGTTGTTGGAGGAATTGCTTGATGCCGGTGTGGACCAACCAATGGCTTCTGCTGGGGGTGATGGATAGTGTGTATACGCGGATTCTGGAGAAGTGTAATTGGGGGGATGCCGGTTTTGTGCATGATTACCCAATTGTGATGGGAGCGATCTTAATCGCACAGCAGCCACTATCCATTGCGGCGTGGGACGCTGTTCTTTCGCCACTGCTGGAATCGAACATCCAACATACATTGGCTGAACTTGCGCCCCTCGTCTTGGGTGTTGAGCATCCCGACACGCCGATTCGTATTTTGCATCAATCCCTTTGGGAGTTTCTCGTGAACCGGACCAATATGCAACCACCTACACTCCGTCATCTCGTGCCAGATGCGAGGAAGGAAAACACCAGATTAACCCTGCGCTGCATCGAAATCTTGAATACGAGTCTTTCTTCTATGAAGAACTTGGAGCTGGTCGAGGGTTTGGCGGCAAAAGCTAAGCTACCGCCCATTCCTCAAGAGACGCTGTCAGAACAGTTCCGTTATGCATGTCGGCATATCACGTATCACCTCAACCAAGTCCAGGAGCCACCGAAGATGCTTGATAGGCTGGTTTACTCATTTCTCAATCAGCAATTAATTCACTGGGTGGAGGTCTGTGTGAGAACGGAAGGATACAGTAGTATATCATCGTTCCCTCGGTGGGCCAAGGTGTGGATCATCAACAGCGTTCACGAGGTGTCCCCGTTCTCATCCAAAACTTATTGTTCCTTCAGTTGAGCGTTGATCAAACTTCAAACGAAGTTATTCATGCGTTGGTCAAGGTGCTTCGCGATGTACACAAAAATCTCGCATTTTTCTTAAGATTGCAGGAGGCATATGAGATGGCAAATGACTCCGTTGCGCTCTGCCGTTGCCTTGTGTCTGTGGACTCTGAGTCCTATACCGTGGATTTGGCTTGGTCACTTGGGACTCTAGGCACTTCACTCATCAACCTTGGTCGGCATTCCGAAGCGCTTCCGGTGATCACAGAAAGTGTCGAATTCTGGCGCGAGTTGGTTGCCGTGCATAAAACATACACGGTGGAGTTGGCTCGGGCGCTTCAGAATCTCGGGGTGCTGCTTGGCGGTCTTGGGCAACCTTCCAAGGCACTCCCAGTGATCGAGGAAAGTGTGAAGCTCTGGCGCAAGTTGGTTGCCATCCATCCGGCCTCACACCCCAGACTTGGCTCGAGCGCTCCAAAATCTTAAAATATCGTTTGACAAGCTCGGGCGGCATTCCGAGGCGCTGCCAGTGATCGATGAAAGTGTCACACTCTGGCGCAAGCTAGTTGCCGTCAATCCGACCTTATACACCCCGGACTTGGCTCGGTCACTCGGGAATTTAGACACATCACTCACCAATCTTGGACGCCATTCTGAGGTGCTCCCGGTAATGAAAGAAAGTGTGAAGCTCTGGCGCGAGCTTGTTGCCGTCCATCCGTCATCATACACCCCAGATTTGGCTCAAGCGCTGTTCAATCTCAACTGGACACTTGACGAATTCGGACGATACTCCGAGGCGCTTCCGGTGATCGAAGAAAGCGTCAAACTATGGCGGAGGCTGGTTGCTGTCCATCCGACCTTGTATACCCCTGGTTTGGCTCGAGCGCTTCGCAATCTTCACTGGTCGCTTCGCAGAATCGAGCAGTATTCCGAGGCGCTTCCCGTGATCGAAGAGAGTGTCAATCTTTGGCGCGAGCTAGTCGTCATCCATCCGACATTATACACCTCTAATTTGACGGGAGCGCTCCACAATCTTGAAGTATTACTAGAAAAACTTGAATGGCATTCTGAGGTGCTCCTTATAAATGAGGAAAGGCTCAAACTCTTGCGCCGGTAGCTTTTATTCATCTGATATCGTCCATCTCATGTCCAGCCCCATGTTTCAGTAGCTCATTACAAAAACCCTCCGCATTGTGCCAAGACCCTGTGTTTCATTGAGAAACCCGCTCCTATTTGCCATTCGCTGTGTATTGCTCATCCAACATCGGACGCATCTGATAATTGAGCGTTGGCATTGAAAGCTCTGACATTATGCACGCGGCGTGGATTACCATACTATTGCAGCTTCATGTTGAATGCTCTGACACTTGGTGCGCATGGACTGCATCACGCATGCATTGAAGGTCTTGAAAGACACGACTCGCTATTACGGTTGCGTACTCTCGTGCCAAATTTGAGCCGTCCAGACGTCGAGACAGCGTCCAACATATTACGTTTGAAATCACCCATCCTACTTCGAATATGAATTTACTGGACCAGAATTCACTTTAACAGTGTGCAGTATTCCCAGCGCTCTTCTTGGAAATGTGATTTGCTGAAGAACCGACGATCGTTCGCCATTTTGAACTTAGCAGGGAGAACAGATGGGTCACTCTGATCCTGTCGCGAAGAAGAACGTCAGGACAACGGGTAGAAACAGGCGAAAAATATACTCGGGCCTGTGTAAACGTGATGGACGTCCCCGTACCGACCGAGTAGACAGCTGATTTTGATGTCCATACTGACTTGCAACAGAGCAATTGCGGTTGCGCCTTGGGCGAGCCATTAATCCAACTTGGTGTTTGGCTAGACCGATAATTCAGACCCCGTTTGGTGTCTAGTGCTTCTCATGAGCTTCCTTCGCCCAATCATGCATGTTTGGATCAGGTTTTGATCAGTCATCTCGACAATTACGCACCCACTCGCTTGTCCATCACCCAAACTCTTCTGTAACTCGTTCTAATCGTAGCCGTAGGCTTCATTCATTTCACGTGTCAAAATAAAAATATGCCGAATGTACACATCTTGTCTCTTTCTTTGTTCCCAAAGCCTAATCGCCAAGACTGGGTTGTCCCTGCATGCAATTCAAAATGATCGTGTGAATTTGGTTCCAGAACCAGCAGGTCACGATCCTCAGCCTTTATTGGAATGGCCTCTGACAGGCGATAGAATACTTGTGCACTGCATCTCCTAGTACTGCGGAAGCAGCTCTGATTGGAGATTACCCTGCAAGGTCAAGCCAGTGTAAGGTGGCTTGATGTTAGCTGTTTGAATCGGCTTCGGGGTGCTGTGGAAACAAGGTTTCACGAGGCAATTTGCAAGGCCCGTTCTGTTCGACCATCATCCTCGTTCGCTCTGGACCATTGGGGAAAGAAACACTAGTATGGAACTCCTGTCCCAAAATCATTCAGTACGCGGTCAGATAACCTGGGCGGCGATCGAAAATGACACAGTTCTCATCGTAGATTCGCTCCATTTATGCAAGCGATCTTAGCCGTCCCTTGCAAGACTACGCCGACGCTTTTAACCAATGGTTCAATAGATCCAGCGTCCGTAAGGACTGGGACACCGTCCCAGCTTCCGATCTGGTATCCGGTGGTGCTCCCAGCATGTCACAGCATTACTTGGACAGATTTTACCTCAGGATAGGCTCATGGCAGCATGAGAAATGGAAAATATCATTGGGTTAGTATTTGGTTTCTTATGAAGTCCTCAAATCTGACAGATCCCACGAAAGCTGTTTCTCTTGCCCATCCCGATCCTTTAGTATCCGTTCGTCCTTGGCACGATCGGGAGCTTTTTATTTTCATCGAGAGAAGTTTTGATGAACGCGTTCGTCCGGACGTGGGGATCTCTGCGTCTTTCCGACTAGCCTTAGACGAGCATGAAATGAACCCTGAAACCAGGATTTTCAAAGGGTGCATTGAGGACTTTTCATGCACCTTCACCCGTGCTAACAGTGTTCACGGTGGGCTACTCAAATGAATCGTGTGTTGTTCGCTCATGCTTTTTTTTCAGTCGTAAAAGGACAACTATTACGATGGACGCATAACCTGTGGGGCCTCGTAGATTCGGGGGCGTCGACCGCTCGTATACTTATTCAGATCGAAACAAGTGAGATGACCGTCACAAGCAAGCGATCCAGCTCCCGATTTCTCAAGAATGACGACATTCGACTTCATGTTTGCTCGTTTTTGGATGCAGTGTCCATTGCCGCGATGGATGCGGCCCTCGCTCCGCCAAAAACACGGGCGGATTATGACAGCGACAGTGTGAATGTCCTTCTCCGAAGGGTATTCTCTTCTTTTGGCAAGTACTTCTCGGACCCGTGCGCCTTCGCGGACTGTTTGCACCAATCAGGCGCTCTCGTCGGAGGGTCCACCGTTCTGTGCATTCTTAACAGTGAATCATGGGAACCGGGCGACCTCGACGTTATCGTGTCTAGGGTATTCTGTCCCATCTTAATCACTTACCTACGCAAGGAAGGTTACGAGCTTGACCCAAACCCCCCCATCGTTCCGAGTACATGCCCGCACCCATCGATACCTTCGATTACGAACGGTACAAGAAAGGCGAATTGCAAATTGACGTCTCCATATCTCTATGGTGTAGTCCCGCACAGTTCATCGTGTCCGATTACCATCATTCGTTCGTGATGAATTTCATTTCTTCTGAAGGGATATACTGCCTCTTCCCTGAAACCTTCTCTCGCCGAGGATGGGTCAATGGTCCCCTCCGACGAAGGGTGCACCTGGTACGGGCAAAGTATATCGCAAGAGGATACGAAATCCTTCCCGGAAGCATCCAGGACCAAACTGGTCCAGTTGATATATTGAGACTCAGGGGCATATGGTCGGTCAAGCTCCCTCTGACGAGCGCAAAAAATGAACGTTACCTACGGGCGCGTGCCAAATACCGCGAGGGCATGCGCCCACTCAGCCATTCTTCGCAAACTTAAACACGAGGATGAGTTCGCCATTTGTGTCTCAGATTATGGCCAGGTGTGCAGTTCTTTTACTATGTTAGGTACCGCTGCCCGGTACCAGCCGCCAGTTCAGGGGATTGCTGTCGCTCAACCATTCATCTCAGAATGCATCGTTTTGATGTTCTGGTGTATCTTATTGGCTGTTTCTGGCAAATACTTGAACTTTAACGAAATACATCTGGTCCTATGGTCTTCCAATTTTGGGGATCGATGAGTGTGTCAGAGATTGGCAAAATGGAAGAAAGGGAGAGATCATAAAATCATGCAGACAGGTACGTAACAAGTCTCGGTTCTATCTCAGATCTGTGCCCTCTAGGCACGTCATGGAGCTTTTTAGTATTACAAGACCCCAGACAGTGTGGACAATGTGTCGTGGGATGCAGGAACTTGAAAACAACCATGCATTTCCAGATTCTCGACCTTCAAGTAGCTAGTTGGGGAATGAAACCATTTTCCTGTTGGTCGAATTAAAGATCTCGCGCGCAAAAGCTGTCCACATGCAAAAACACAAAGTTATCATCACTCACCGGCCCGGTCGCGACAGCCTCAATACGGTTGCGGAGCCCCCACGCCGCATGCATTGTGTCAGAGTTCCCAATGCCAACGCTAAATCAGATGCGTCCGGTGTTGGATGAGTCATACACAGCGAAGGGCAAGTAAGAGCGGGTTTCTCAATGAGACATAAGATCTTGGCATAATGCCGAGAGTTTTTGTAACGAGCTGCTGAAACCGCGGAATGATGGGCCAAGCACGAGATGGGCGGTATTGGATGAATAAAAGCTCCTGGCATAAGAGTTTGGACCTTTCCTCATTTATAAAGAGCGCCATTCAAGTTTTTTTTAGTAATACTTCAATCGATCACGGGGAGCGCCTCGCAATACCACTCAATTCTGCGAAGTGACTAGTGAAGATTGGGAAACCCTCGAGCCAAACCAGGAGTATATAAAGTGGGATGGACAGTAACCAGCTTCCGCCATATGCATAGTTTGACACTTTTTTCAATCATCGGGAGCCTCGGAGTATATACCATCCGAATTCGTCAAGTGTCCATTTGAGCGCTTGAGCCAAATCTGGGGTGCATGATGACGGATGGACGGCAACAAGCTCGCGCCAGAGCCTCACGCTTTCTTTCATTACCGGGAGCACCTCAGAATGGCGTCCGAGATTGGTGAGTGATGTGTCTAGATTCCCGAGTGACCGAGCTAAGTCCGGGCTGTATGAAGTCGGATTGACGGCAACTAGGCGCTTGTGCCAGAGTGTGACACTTTCATCGATCACTGGCAGTGCCTCGGAGTGCCATCCGAGCTTGTCGAGCGATATTTTAAGATTTTGGAGCGCTTGAGCTAAATCCGGGGTGCATGAAGCCGGATGGATGGCAAGACCACCGAGCAGCACCCCGGTGTTCTGGGGCGCTCGAGCCAATTCCATCGTGTATGTTCTATGGACGGCGAGTGAAGTACCTAGATTCACAAGTGACCAAGCCAAATCCACGGTGTAGGACTCAGAGCCTACAGACACAAGACAACGGCAGAGCGCAACGGAGTCATTTTCCATCTCGTATGCCTCCTGCAATCTTAGGAAAGGTATAGAAATCCACTGTAAAGACCTGTTGGTTGCTCGGAAACGGAAACGGAATAAGTTCTATTGCAGCTTCATGTTGAACACTTTGACACTTGGTGCGCATGGACTGCATCACGCATGCATAGACACGACTCGCTATTGCGTTTACGTACTCTCGTGCCAAATTTGTGCCTATCAGACGTCAAGCGCGCCCCCCCCCCCCGGCATCTCCATCACCCAAACTCCTCTGCAACTTCTGTAACTCGTTTTAATGGTAGCCGTAGGCTTCATTCGTTTTGCGTGTCGAGCAAATGTACATGCATTTCTTGTATCTTGCATTATTAGGACCGTGGGAACCCGGTCCCAGGTCACCAGCCTCTATTATACGATCATCAGTCTTTGCTGGAATGACCTTTGACAGGCGATAAAGCACTTGTGCACCGCATCTCCTAATACTGCTGAAGCAGCTCTGATTGGAGATTACCCTGCGAGGTCGAGCCAGTGCAAGTAGCTGTCTGAATCGGCTTCGGGGTGTTGCGGAAACAAGGTGTCGCGAGGCAATTTACAAAACCAGCTCTATTCGCCCATCATCCTCGTTCGCTCCAGCCCATTGGGGCAAGAAACACTAGTATGGAACTCCTGTCACAAAATCGGCCAGTGCGCGGTCAGATACCCTGGGTGGCGATCGAAATGACGCGGTTCTCATTGTAGATTCGCTCCACTTATTCAGGCGATCTCGGCCGTCCCTTGCAAGACTACGCCGATGCATTTACCCAATGGCTCAAGAGATCCAGCGTCCATAAGGACTGGGACATCGTCCCGGTTTCCGATCTGGTATCCTGTGGTGCTCTCGGCATGCCACAGCATTACTTGGACAGATTTTACCTCAGGATAGGCTCATGGCAGCCTGAGGAATGGAAAATATCTTTCGGTCAGTGCTCGATTCCTTATAAAGGCCCTAGACCTAACAGACCCCACGAAAGCTGTTTCTCTCGCCCATCCCGATCCTTTGGTATCCGCTCATCCTTGGCACGATCGGGAGCTTTTTATTTTCATCGAGAGAAGTTTTGATGAACACGTTCGTCCGGATGTCGGAATCTTTGCATCCTTCCGACTGGCCGTGCACGAGTATGAATTAGACCCCGAAACCCGTCTTTTCAACGGGTGCGAGGACTTTTCATGCACCTTCACCCGTGCTGACAGTGTTCACGGTGGGCTACTCAAATGAACTGTGTGTTGTTCACTCATGCTTTTTTTCCAGTTGTAAAAGGACAACTATCACGATGGACGCAGGACCTATGGGGCCTTGTAGATTTAGAGGCGATGACCGCTCATATACTTATTCAGATCAAGACAAGTGAAACGACCGTCACAAGCAAGCAATCCAGCTACCGAGTTCTCAAGAATGACGACATTCGACTTCATGTTTACTCGTTTTCGGATGCAATGTCCATTACCGCAATGGATGCGGCCCTCGCCCCGCCGCAAACATATTATGACAGCGATAGCGTGAATGTCCTTCTCCGAAGGGTATTCTCTTCTTTTGGCAAGTACTTCTCGGACCCGTGCGCCTTCGCGGACTGTTTGCACCAATCAGGCGCTCTCGTCGGAGGGTCCACCGTTTTGTGCATTCTCAACAGTGAATCATGGGAACCGGGCGACTTCGACGTTATCGTGTCTAGGGTATTCTGTCCCATCTTAGACACTTACCTATGCAATGAAGGTTACAAACTTGACGCAATCGCCCCCCTTCCTTCCGGGTACATGCCCGATCCCTTCGATTACAAACGGTACAAGAAAGGCGAATTGCAAATTGACGTCTCCATACCTCTACGGTGTAGTCCCGCACAGTTCATCGCGTCCGATTACCACCATTCGTTCGTAATGAATTTCATTTCTTCCGAAGGGATGTACTGCCTCTTCCCTGAAACCTTCTCTCGCCGAGGATGGGTCAACGGGACCCCTTGGCGTGCGGTGCACCTGATACGGGAAAAGTACACCACAAGAGGATACGAAATCCTTCACGGAAGCATCCAGGACCAAACCGGCGACAATGGTCCAGTTGATGTATTGAGACTCAGGGGCATATGGTCGGTCAAGCTCCCTCTGACAAGTGCAAAGAATGGAAGTTATCTACGGGCGCGTGCCAGATACCGCGAGGGCATTCGCAGACTTAAACACGAGGATAACTTCACCACTTGTGTCTCATGATTATAGGTGTGCAGCTCATTATATGATTTCGGTGCCATGTACGGCCTTCCTGGTACCAGCCGCCAATTCTTATTTAAGTCAGGGGATGCTGTCGCTCAACCATCCATCTCAGAATGCGTCGTTTTCATGTTCTAGTGCATTTAGCTGTTCTGTATTCTTCCCTTTGGCTGTTTCTGACAATTGCTTGAACTCTAACGAAACGTATCTGGTCCTATGATCTTCCGATTTTGGGGATGAGAGCATTAGAGATTGGCAAAATGGAAGAAAGGGGGAGATCGTAAATCAGACAGAAGTTAATTCTGGTACTATCCCTGCGGTTTATATAGGCGAGTTGCACGAAGACCTTGGGACTTTCCTGCGTTACAAGACCCCGGTCCACACTTCTTCCACGGAAGAAGTGTGTGGACAATGTGTCGTGGGATGCAGGAACTTCAGAGCACCACGTATTTCCAGATGTTCCTCAAGTAGCCAGTTGGGGATTCGAATGAAATCATATTCCTGTTGGTCAAAAGGTCTCGCGTAATCCAATGCAAAAGCTGTCCACATACAAAGTTGTCACCATTCAAGGTCAAGGACTATGTATTGACGGAGCAGCTTCTGGTGCATGAAATACCCCCGGCCCGGTGATCGCCACAGCCTCAATACGGTTGCGGAATCCAACTTACCATTTCCTTTTGTAAGCAACCAACAGGCCTTTACAGTGGGCTCCTATACCAGACATGTCACACATTCTAGCTGAGAATCTGACTGCTGAGGCTCTCTTCGGGCTGAAGGGGAAGGTCGTATTGGTTACGGGAGGAGGCACAGGAATGTGTGTTGGAGTCCGCGTCCGCATGAGTACAATATTAACGCGACTCCGATTTGCCCTCGATCTCTGCTTTCGGGTCGTTAAAATAGTGGATTGATGATGGCCAAGGGACTGGCCGTAAATGGGGCGAAGACCTATATTGGATCGAGAAGAAAGAACGTTATCGAAAGTGCTGCTGAGTCTCATGGGAAGGGTTTGGCAGGACGCATCATCCCGTAAGTACGAACCTGATGTTGACTGCATTCGCATACGCCCTGCCTGGCCATATATGCTTAAAGTTGTGCAGCATTGATCTAGATGTCACTTCAAAGGAGAGTATCTTGAATGCTGTGGAAGTGATCAGGTCAGAAAACGACGGCAGACTCGATGTCCTCATTAACAAGTAAGCGATCCCCGTCATCACCTTTCGGATGGAATATTGTAATAAATCCCGGATTGAAAGTGCAGGACAAGTAGGGCCCAAGACCTTATGGTTCGGGGACCCTTCCGCGCCGCAGCGAAAGGACGCGGAAACGCTTGGAAGGGCGCTTTTTGACCACGAATCCTTTGAGGACTGGCAGCAGCTATTCAGCATCAACCTGGCATCGATTTATTTTGTAACAACCGCTTTCCTCGGTCTGCTAGACAAGGGGTCAAAGGTCGGAGGAGATTGGAGCGCAAGCGTAGTTAATATAACCTCGATCAGTGGTAGTTACAAGATGGCTCAGAATCACGTAAGAGGTCTGATCCAACTCATGGGGAGGCAGCTCACCTCACTCCTTAGTTTGCATACAACGCCTCAAAAGCAGCGGGGGATCACCTGAACGTCATGCTTGCAACAGAGTTCGCAGCGAAAGGCTTGAAAATCCGAGGCACATACCGAAGACTATCAAAAAGGCTTGTTCGGTCTCTTATGGAGTTATACAGTGAATGCTATCGCGCCGGGCTTATTCGCGACGGAAATGACAGGCGGTGAAGGCCAGGTGTTTGGGCCCGAACAGACCCAGAAAGTATCAGGTTCGACAGTTCCGGTGCCGTCTGGAAGAACTGGAATGTGAGTTAATTGCGGGATCCAAGTTTCGAAATCGGAGTGCACTGATAAGACCCTTAGTGCCGAGGAAATAGCTGGTACTGCGTTATATTTAGTTTCCAGAGCCGGATGGTATACCAACGGGCAGAATATCGTAGTTGATGGGTCACTCTTGGCCGTGAACCCAAGCACTCGCTAGATCCACCAATGGTCTGGTCAGAAAATATTTTGGTTCTGGGAGAGGGTCAGCTCCAAGCCCAATGTTGTGGCACTGTAATCGTAGTTCGAGTAGTGTCAACGTCGAAGCCCAAAAATGACCCTCACCACAAAAACGAGGCTCTTGCAACCCTGACATCGCCAAACAGAACATCCCATCATGGACGCAGTGTGACCACACCTATGCCTAGGCCTGTTGCACCTTATGGTAAAGCTAAACAAAGGACCATCGACTTCGAGAAACTGCAGGTCTCAAAGATGAGGAGCCGCGCGTGAGAGTGTACATCACTCTGGGAACAACGAAGAAACTTGCGGGTGGGAGGTTACGATTTACCCTGCCTCCACGCTTTTGCGGCTTGACGTCGCTGTCGATGTTGCTCAGGAAGGACCAGGCATCAAGCGTACCTGTTTTTCGGCACGTCCAAATCAGTTAAGATGCGAATGTGATACATAGTATCTAACCCAGTCGGACCGACAATTCTATACCGGGTAACCGATCACCATTCGGCCTCCTGGCCGCGCCTGGACCTGTTGAGCATTCAACGTGATGATCTACCAGGAGGGGAGCCAACGGAACTGAGCTTGCGCAAATAGGAAACAACGACTTTGTCGTCCTTCGTCCTAGTGCTTTCAATTTCATCCGTTCTGGCGTTATGTAATTGCGAAGGCGACGCTCTCAACTCCTATCATCACGAATCTTTTCCCTTATTCCGTAGTAATCATATGCTGATCATTGATCACCAATTTTTAATTTTCCCACCCTCTGTGGTGTTGGCAAAATTAAAACGCCTAATACCTTCCATCGAGGCAAGCTGTCTAAGCTACTATTTGCCTCCCCACGATTTGTTTATCCTAGCCCTCAAAAGGCACACCAAGTCGTTGCTGGGATACGAGTCGCTGGGGGGAAGGATCAATCGGCCTTCCTCCGAAGCACAAGCTGATTCACCTTCGCTGAGTATTTAATTACTTAACTTGCACGGCGATCGGAAACTCCGGTGTGATATGTCGCCCTTGCTAATTCTGTGGAAGTACCCATGCAAGGAAATTTCATGATTCTCGCAAATAATCTCCTTCACGATGTGGATAGAAAATCAGATGGAACACAATAATATTGGTTTGCATTGTGAGAGGAAACAGGTGGGGGTGGCAAACCACCATGTGAGGGGTATTATGGATAACCGAATCGTTGCGACACTTGGACCATGATATAAATGGAGGGGGAGAACAAGCGATGATGATCAGAAAACAAAGAGAACATTGGAAGTTAAATGACAGTGTAGGAACACGAGAAGGAAGGCCGGGCTTGTGTGACAGGTCAACAGTGAAGAAACTACAAATGAGGGATGGGGAGGATAATTATACCTAGCTCCGTCCGTGAGGCAGGGTTAAGCATAATGGCGCTCAAGAATTAGCAACAAAATACTAAAACTCTCTCGCGTTGCGTCAATCTATTAATCATTGGCTTTATGGTGACTAAGTGCAGCGTCAGCCTTCTGGAGGTCCCGCTCGCTTAGACTCCTGTTGTTTGCACTTCCGGGGGTACTGGCGCCGGATCTGACGGAGTTGGCTCGAGTACGAACTTTCATAACCAATGGACTGTGAACATGATGATAAATGATGATTTCTTTCATAATAGCAACACCAACTCACTAAGGATAGCTGTCTTCCTCATCTTCTGGCCGGAAGATGGAACTGTGCCATATCTCACCGCCACGATAATCGCTCGTGCTCAGACTCTGCATCTGTTACAAGCCTTTAGTGTCCACCCAAAGAACTCGGCACGAAGTGAACGAACCTCTTCGGTAAGGGTACCCATATCACCAGGGGTGGCAGCGCCACGGAAGGTCGGCGTTCCAGGCACAGAGAACCCAGCACCTCCACCTCCACCTTGTCCAGCAGTAAAGGTTCCCCCGCTGAAATAATCCTCCTCATTACCGTACGAGATGCCATCTTCCTCGCTCTCGAAGGCGTCGGGATACGCACGACGAAGGGCGAGTTGTCTAGCTTTGGAGTATTCGATACCTAAATTCTTCCAATCGAGCAAAGGGGAGAGGCGCTCAACACGGTTACGCTGATTAATCCGCTGACGACGGGTCTTGCTGGCGAAGCTGACCATGTATTCGGCCAGCTTCAAGTTGGAGTCAGGTGGGTGCTTTTGATCCGTGACAGAGCTGGCCATACCTGCCGAACAGAATCCTCCAGGGATTGCTTACGGCGATCTACAATGTAGATACCTTCCTCCTAAGGAAGTGAACATCGGTGTAATGATCAAGCGTCTAGGTCAATCAAGGGCCACTCTTACTTCGGGTTTCTCAATTAGATCCTGCATGAACGAGCCAAACCCTGACAAATTAGTGGTGATTGATGGGATGCCCATCTGAACCATCACCCAGGCCATCATTACGACCCTAAGTAAACCAAACAGATTGACACATACCACAGTACATTCAGCAGGCGTGTATCCCCACGGCTCATAGTAACTGGCAAATACTCCCAAATGGCATCCTCTAACAAATTCTTCATAATCCAATCCAAGAATTGGGTTATGCGCATTAAGGAAATCAGGGTGAAAAATGACCTTGACACGATCAGATGAGCGATTGAAGAGCTGAACGCGCCGAATTTGTAATAAAATCGGGTCCGCTGCGTCGTCTGCCATATTATGTGTCGTGACAGGCGGAAATGAGTTCCTTTTGAGTGCGAAGATACGGCGCTTGAGCAAAACGCGATCTTCGTCCGAGAGAAGTTGGCTCATGTCGGGAACAAGCGTTGAATCGGGAGCGCTATCATTGTACCGTGCTGCATGCTCGAAGAGACGGTTCCCAATGCGATGCTGAATCTCAGTGACCGTGTCGCGCAACTGTTTCGTTACAGCCTGGCCTTTCAGGGCCTCAATGGTGTATGAATTAGTGGCCGCAGGCATAATAATGAATGCAACAACAGTAGTGTTGGTTCCAGATTGCTGAAGGCGGTAGTTGAGACGTGCCAAAGCTTCTATGAACATGTCCACCCCCTTGTTGCGGTATTCGTACCGTCCAGCTGTGAACATCTGGGTAAATGGGGATAAGTCCACAAAGTCTAAAAATGGTGCAAGGCAGAGGGTGACTTGCGTAGAGTGTATTGTTTAAGTCGAAATCGTAATGTCCATAGAAATGACCACGGATAAAATCATCAATTTTAGCCTTAGCAGTAGCATGCAAGTTCTGGAATTCATGCATGGCCTGGAACTTGACGACATTTAGACCATTTGGCACAACTCCATCCGGTTTCCTCTTCAATAGGTGCTCAGACTCGTAGGCGGTGATATGGGAGACCGTTGTAAAGACATCGGTGCAATGGGCTGCTGATCGCTCAATACAATATCGATGATAGATACCGCGCTTCCCAGCTTCGTGGTCCACATCAAAATATTGGAGATTGTTGTAGAAATCAACAGCACCAGCACAGAGGTACCGGCCGAGGAGCGTTGCGTGCGTTGTAAAAACGGTCGTCACGTCAATCTGCCGTTTACGACAGAGGGGAATAGCTACCCCAGCTTGCCACTCATGGAAGTGTGCAATGACAGCCTTCGGCAAAAACAACGCAGAGCGTCGATTTTGCGAGGAAGCACGTAAATAAGAATTGAGTTTGTTTTTTGGTCAAATAAGGGTATTCACCTGGTGGACATTATTAATGGTGTATTCGCCGAGGAACCATGCTACAAGGTAACCAAACACAATTGCCTCGTTCGTCTCATTGTCGTTTGGTGGGGTGGGGATGCCAGCTAAGTTCCATAGGTCGCCTTTCCATTCGTCAATTTTGTGGGATTGGCTGCTAGTATCGAAAAGAATGACTCTAGGTGCGCCTTCGATAAGCCATCTTCCGTAGAGAACTTTGACTCCGCGGTCGCGCATTGCCTTGAGAGTGGCTACCATCTCGGGATCGGTCGGTTCCAGAGCCTCGACCTCCATAGGAGCCGTCTTGTACGATAATGGTCCAATAAGACAGTATCTATCACCATACTCCTTAATGGTGACAGGGACTTTGGTCTTAAGAACGGTGTAAATTCCGCCGACCTACGCGACTGACGCAATAAGCTACCGAAATTTAAGCTCCCAAGAAAAGCTGGGGAATCAGAGGCACCTTATTTGCAACCTCCCATGCACATTCAAACAGCTTGGTATCCCTTATATCACGCCTAACGGGGGTCGCCATCGCACTCAACTGTGGGGTAGCAATTGTGATGTGGAAGACAAATAGGCCGATGTGGCTGCAGAGTACTCACACGCTTGGTCACGATAAGCACGTGATTGGTCACAGCACTAGTATAACGTTTATTTGGATGCAAATAACGGAGATATGGAACGACATTTCCGGATCTAACACCGTGAATGCTGGGATTCACCAGTACACCAAAGAGGTAACCTTGAGCTTGCGTGTATTATCTAATCTTGTTCATCGCCCTCGCTCAATAACGAGGGCGACTGCATCCAAGACAATCAGTGTGAGTTGTTGGGCTAGACAAAAAACTCGTGCTTCTCGGGTCGGGACGGGAAATGAGTTCGAGTTGTGACCTGCTTAATACGGTTACTGAAAACCATGGGTTTTTCGTACAGGCCGCATTGTCGTTCCGCCGAGATAAAATTCGCAAATGTTAAAGTCGGATAATTCAACATCCAGCCATTCACTCACCAAGCATGGTAGAATTATTGCTATCAGAAATGTATTGAGCCCTCCTCTTTCATGAATGCGGAGGCCCACGGCTGGCAGCAATACATGCCTTTCTGGCTCTCAGGGCTTTGCATCCTGTTCTCCATCTGCGTCCCACTACCCCTCCTGAAGGTCATGCGAGACCAAGCTTTCAGGTTCATCCTCGAGGATCCTAATGCGGACCCATCGAGGAACAATCAACGCAAGCGCGCGCGTCTTGTCACTGCCTGCGACTCGTGGTACGCGGCCGTTTCTTTGGTTCCTCATCCAAGAACACGCTGTCGATCCACCTACTCTGACCCTAGTCGTGCCAAAAAGATCAAGTGTGTCACTTCGTCCGAGACCGGGGAATCGCCCAAGTGCGATGCTTGCGCGCTGGCTGCAACACCATGTCTCTTTTCGGACAGGGATCGGTACCACGCCGAGCGGGGCGTGTCGATGTCGGAAAAGCCTCGCCTTGCAGTGGGCGCGAGCTCCGCAGGTGTGGAGGATCTCGAGCCTACCAGACGAAGGAAAAGACAACACTCGTCCCCACTTACAATTCCGCAACCAAATGGCCCAGGCGGTTTCGGTTTCGGCTCAACCACTAGCCACGCTCACAACGAGGTCCAGTCCGAAACTTATTCCCCTCCACACCCGGTCAGCGGCCGAGGAGCGCTCAGACGAATCACAGTCCCTTTCTTCCGGTGAGCCATTTTTGTCTGCATTTTTGTAGTCACTAGCTGAAAACCATCCATCGCAACGTCTCAAAAATTTATTGTCTGTACTTCAGTTATTTCGGACCAACGGCAAATACTTCTGGGTAAATCCCCACCCCCCATTCCCCTGTCATGATCGAGCCCATTTTCACGTTCCAGTCATCTCAGGTACTGCAAGGCCCAAGTTCATGCTCTCACACTGCCGGACGACGCCACGGCCACAGATTCAGATGTCGATGTTTCTGCCTCCACGCCCTCGCAGACACGGGCTTCTTTACCCCCATCCATATTGGGGACTTTGAACGAGTGCGTAGCCCTAACATCTACCCTTGGAACCCATCACTTACCGCCACCCAACCCCATCAACAGTTCAAACACATACAAAAACGGATTTGGCCCTGCATTAGACATGAATTTTCCCAATTATCTTCCTGTTCACGCAGATTATTTTGGCGGCCTTCCAATTGAGAGCGTGAAAACCATAGAGCCAGCGATCAACAGAACTGACTTATTTGACCCTCAGCGAATCCGCTATCCATCGTCAGAATTCCTCATGCACCTCATCACACTCTTCTTTGATCGTATGGCCTGCCATTTTCCATTCTTGAAGCGTGAAACCATAGTGGCCAAAGTCAGAGAAGGATCATTATCCGCCATTCTGGCGAATTGCATATGCGGCCTCGCCGCGCGATTCAGTGACAAAGAGAGGCTTCTGGTCGGGGGATCCAGGGGCTCAGCTGGTGAACCTTACTGTGATATGGCTAAGGTATGTTAATTACATGCCGCCAAGTCCCCAATCCCCTTTAACTGCTTAACTGATGTTCGGTGACAGTCACTGTTGGTTCATATGCTCTCCTGGCCGTCACTGGAAATCCTTCAATCGCTAATTCTTATAGCATGGGCAGAGTTTGGGAGTGGGCGCGATAGCGGTCAGTGCCCCCTCTTCATCACCTGACCTTCAAGGCAATCTCTTACCACCTTTTCGGGTTACCCAGGACTCTGGATGTACAGCCGAGTGAGTACAATTTCAAAGATTATAGTCATCGATCATTCATTACGTCCGTCCTTCAGATGGCTGTGGGTATGGCTATGGATCTCGGCTTTGGATTCGAGACCACCGTTCAAATGGCTTCCAGCAATGAGGATCGGGAGGCCGTACGGCTGACATGGTGGGCCGTCGTATTGATTGACAGAATTAATTCCTGGGGTGCGTGCCTCCCATCTCAGAGTTGGCCCTTGGTGATGCCGTAGCTAAACACCCTCGTGGCCGTTATCTTTATGGTCACCTAGGTACGGGGCGGCCTATCGCCATCCCCGACAATCAGGTTGGGAATGGTGGCTCTTTGTTCACTCTTTCTGCGTCTTACTGAAATCTGTCTCTTGCCAGTTTGACACTGCACTGCCCTCCTGCGACCCTTCTGTGGGAGAACATTTCACCAGGGCACCGCCAGCATCCTTTGTATTTGGGAATTTATGTTGCCTTGTGCAGCTGCGTGGGAAGATGGGTGACATTCTGAATAATCTCGTCAAACGGAAAGCTTCCGAACATCCCGTTGATGTGGAGCTCTCGGAACTCCAGTCCCAAATGGTCAACTTTTACCAATCTCTCCCGCCGTCTCTGGTCTTCACCATTCAGAATTTTCGGAGGTTTTCAAACGACAATCAAGCCGCCACCTTCCTATTGATGCATCTAATGTTCCACTCAGTGATTATTCTTCTCCAACGGCCTGCCTTATTGCGGAGTTTTTCTCCCAACGTAACACTCCCCATTGCAAGTAATGTCGACCTAAGTCGTTCGGTGAGTTATTATTCGCTTCTTCCGCGCGCTCGATCCATCGCGCCTTTCTTCCGTTATCGGATTTCCTCGTGTGAGGCTTTTTTGTAGTTCTTTGCACCCATTCTCATTTCATTTGACGATCGCTAACCTTTGCGTTTCCTCCACAATCTCGCGGGGTCTGGGATTGTGGCTCTTGTCCCGTTGCAGTCTGCGCGTTCCATTGTCGACATGGTGCTGTTAGCGAACGAAGTCGACGAGAATTCCCTATTGGCGAATCCGTTCTTGGATTTACCAATCCTTGCGGCAGCGCGCGGCTTCCTGGCGGAGAGGGAGTTAGTGATGAAGCCCCCATCAAGTACTTCATCTATGGTGCATATGCATCAGCTTCAATGGAGCGAGAGCAATCTCGGAAAATGTAAGGAGATACTCGCTAGGATGAGTACCTATTGGGAAGGAGTTGGAGTCGTCAAGAGGATCCTTGATCAACAAAGTTCTGGGGTGTTTGATTTTGACGTTGGGGAAGGGAACCATCCAGATAGCCGATTGACTCGTGAGTGCTTAAACCATTTCTGCATCTCCTGCTGCGGCCTTGGTGTAGTTTTCTTCAGCCGCTGATGTTGTAGATTACTCTTTATTCAGCTTTCTTGTGGAAAAACTAATCTGCATTTTTTGGGAACGGTTTCTCACATTTTTCTTGAGTAGACCTTCGAGACGTCGAGCTCATGAAGCAATGGGCAACTTCCTCATGGTGTCGTCATAAACCTCACGGACATAGTGGTGGCGATGGTTCAAGGTCCCACTCTGGTGGAAACAGCTCCCCGAGAGGACCGGCCCCACACACAGTTCACACGCGGCTTACTGTCCCCCCCTTGTTACCCCTAAACCACAACAAGGCGCAGTATGGAAGCACACCAATAAACGTGGATGCAGAACGAAGCCTAGACCCGAACAACATCAGTGATACCATGTCGGTTTCGGACGTTCCAGAAGGTGCGGCGTTGGGTATCACCGGTTAGTCTCGCAGGAAATACAGGTCATTGATTCTCGGCGCTGACATTTATCCTGTTTGCCGTTCTAGGTTTCCTTGACGGAGCCCTTGTATTCGACAGTGGCACGCCGTTCGGAATTGATGATGAGTCCGTTCAAAAATCAGCCGGAAGCAACATGTTACCAAGCATTAATGGTAATTCATCTTCTGGTATGCATGCTTCGCTACCACGGACAAACACGCAAGTCTAACTGAAAAAAATATCTTTATTCCTCATCAGACCTCGCCATGCTTCGAGTTTCGTTCAATGCAGCCGAAGCGGATCTAAGTTTTGGCGACCGTTTATCCAACGAACTCTTCAATATCCCTGAGGGATTTGAGGAATTCCTCGGCAACTATGCAGACCACTTTGTTGCCTCTTCACCGCCTTCTGCGAACGGAGAAAGCGACCCTTTTTTATCACGTCAACATGGGAGTGCAGTTCAAGCGGTTGGCAGGATTCAGCGAACGGATGTGAACACTGCTTTGAGCAAGACTGGGCCACTGCCAGATATTGTGCCCGAAGCATCTCATCATTTGTTCCCTTTCGCGTCTTTGGGGCTCCCGTTGGGACAATTTTCTCGAACCCCATCCCCCTGGCAAAAATGACGTACTTGCTCATTATTTCCCTTGCTGCGATCCTTTCGGGTTAGTGTGTAGTCGAGATTCCCTCCGCCCATTAGATGGCGGGACCGTGGCTCTGGAAGTTATGGTGATTAATGTTGTTGGGAGGAACGGACCCTGTTTGATGTGTTGATGCGGCTCCGAGGCTCCAGGAGTTATTGATGTTGGGAGGGAACGATTTGATGTGATGACGCGGCTCCGACTGAGGGAGACATTTCACCTCGAGATGGTCCGATTTGGAAGTTGAGTCATTTTAATTGAATGTGGGAATGCAACGCGGAGGCGGGCCGCCCTCCCCACTATCCCGATTCATCCCCGGAAGAAACTTGTATTTGCACCTCAAGCGATGCCACGCGGGCGCCAGGTGCTCATGCGCAGAAGGCAGGAATGGATACCTCTGGGTTGGCTGTGATCCATCATGATTGCCAGAGTGCTGAGAGGAACTGCATGCGGAGTTTCGACTTTTCAGGCGTTTCCGACTCTCATTCCCATTGACCTGAGCCAGTGGTTAGCCTTGGCGCGTGTCACTGGCCCAAGATTAAGTGCGAATGATCCCATGCTAACTGGTTGATGGCCTACTTTCCTGGCAGCCATCACTCCCACACTCCCAATCGCTATGGTGTCGTTGTGGATCAACATAATTTAATGGTGCGATACACCCAAGATATTGACTATCTTTTGTATCAAGAAATGGTCTCCACATTGGGAAATCTGCACAGGGGTATCTCACATGTCGTTTTTGGTATGTCTCCCTGATTCCTGACCAAAACATCTGTTGGAACCGAATATGGAAGTCTCATCGAAATGCAGACTACATGTACCCATCAAAGGTGCCTTGTTGCAAACATGCGGATCACCATGCCGTTCCTCACTATCTTATGTCCCCCAGTCTTAGAATGACCCACCAGGAGTAGTTCGTTGTAAATTGGGGAAGAACCGTGACGTCAACGGTGAGAATAGTGGCAATATCAGCGGCAGCGGTCAAATATTGATTCATCACGTCATATGCGAGCTGGTACAGAGTTGTTCAAGATGGTAACGGTTAGATAGCTGCGGCGCATGCGATTGAGAGTATTTTCTGCATGGTCTGGCCCTCCGGGTAAGGGCGCAAGTACCCAATATCTCGCATATAATCGACACGTTGGTGGAAGGAACCGATTTGGACCGATTTGGAGCATGCCCCTCCGTCAACTAATTGTGGAGCCTCGTCCCAGCACCTTGCCGTGACCCTGCAACATGGAACCGTCACGGGCAACACAGACACCTTACCACGATATTAGGATAATATCGCTTGGGGAGTGTGGATATTGGGGCAGAGTTAGGGATGGTTGAATGCTGGCACATTAGCGTAATGTAGTATTATATGCGAACGACAACATCAGCGCCAGTCTCTAGGCGAATTGGCCGCTACTGAAACGGCTGACCGTTAACTACTTTGACAAGGCATACTAATGAGGCGAGGTGATCATGAGGTAGGGTCTTGGAGCTGAGATATTCCCGCCCTTTGGAAAACGATAGGCTCATCAGTCGACTGCCACATTCGAAGGTCCTATATGTGAAGTATTTCTTACTGCTACCCCCTGCACCCCTCCCAGAATGAATGGCGGCCACACAGTCGCCCACTCTTAATCATGAATTTCTGCCAATCTCCGTCATCCACGTCAACAGCGAGGCTGGACGCACCCTCTCCTCTGAAACCCCGGAGCTAGTGCTTGAACTCGTCGGCTCCTACGAATATGATATATAGATCATTGGGTACCAAGTGCTACTTCTGGCTATATTTCGTGATGCAATTACCGGCGTTCGAAGGTCCACTGGTTGGGATGAATTCCCCAGGATGGACGTCCACTTTGTCGTGGTCCAGGAACTACCTGCGCTCGTCCACAACTCAAGTCTGATGACTGGAGTTCCAAGAGATATGTATGTGGACAACTGCTAAGGCGACGTAAGTAGTGGTTGCACGTGGTGGGTGCCAAACATGTTATCCCTTTACCTTCTTCTCCACTGTCCCTCTAATTTATACTTTTTTCTTATGCCGCTATGGTTTTCCTCTAGGCTTGGCCGACGGAGCGCCTTTAACCCCCCGATGGCCACACCACAGAATTTTAGATATGCACCTCCTTGCTACCCATACACGCCGCCGCTAACGATAGCCTCGTCGTCTTACTCGTACAACACCATGTCCCAACCTTAACGACCACCTGATTCAAACGTGCCACGCGGGGCTCCAAGGGCTTGCGCTTTGACTCACACTGCCGCGTGCTATTTTACTCCAAGGAGCGATTAGAAGGGTCTGGCTATCCTAGACACTCGCGACCAGTGAACTGGGTACGGGATTGTGGATGGGATACCAGCAGTGGGGATGATAAATTTGAGCTTGCTATGATGTTTAAATAATGTAACCCATTGTACACGCCTGTTATATGCCAACGGGCGTAGACACGGACGTTAGGATAATGGCATCACCATCATGCTCCCTTCCTCCCATTTTGGTGGAATTCATCCGCACTCGTGGTAACGCGGCTTCTAGGGTGGGTCAGGTGTTGGGAGTCCAGGCCTCCCGGAAAAAAAAGATCAGAAGTCATGGGTGGGGGGCAGTGTACTAAGTGCATGAACTTCTTTATGTCAAAAACTCACTCCTCTTAAGTAATCAAGACTTTCAATGTCCAATAATTGAGCCACTAGCTGAGTAGGTACTAGTTACTTCAGCGTCTTCCAACGCACTATCTCCAGAGTTTTACGTACTCTCTAGGATAAGGCATGATTAGCCACAAGAATGAAGACGAACGGGTGGCCGCATTGACAGGGGGTGGTAGGCAGGATCCCAAGGGGGTGGCTGGAATATATGCACCAGCGAAGGTGCGAAAGGCATTTTTCAAGCTTACAGCTGTTTGAAATCAACCGGTTTTGATTTTGCCGGTGCGGCAGGACAATTATCTACGAGACCAGCCTTGGGCCATGGATAAACTAAATTCGCCGATTTTGAGAGGGACTTACTTAAGTCTGTTTCGCCAAAATCGAGACCCCCCCAGATTTTTTTTGAAAACGACCACAAGGGACCCCGCTGTCGTTGACAGCTTTCACGCGTTGTTATTGGTTGTTTATGCGGGGTCGGTTCTACGGCACTGCTGTATTGCACGGATCCGATATTCATGGCGACCGTTCAGCACTGAGGTACCGCCACGCGCTAGGAAGGTGACGGATGTTACTCCTGGTCTCATTCCAGTGAAGGAGTTCGTAATTGATTATTGGCCTGTCACGATGAACAGTGAACACTTCGAGACTCGGAGGGTTTATAAGGTCCCGGGAGCTCCGAAGCAGGCTGGAGGGCCTTATATCGATAAAGGGAAAGTATATATAAACCTAGGCAGGTTACCAGCCTCTATCAGTATAGAATATAAACCCCGAGTCCGACGCTTACCAACATCGCACTATTTATCTCCTTGAGACACGCTATCTTGTTGGTCAAGGTGTGGGAAGACCCGTTGCTGTGGAGCAGGGGTGTGCAAAGCAAATACACTCTTGTCTATCCTGAAGCATCTCAACGCTGTCCCAGAGCCTGGTTCTGATGGGTCCACGAGCACGTACGTGAAATGGACGGATAACGCCATTTGGCCATGGCCCTCGAGAAATAATAGATTGCGTAGAGAAATCTGTGAACTTCAGATGGCCGGCCAACTTTCTGGAAGGACTTTCATTCTGGGAAGATCATGTAGAAGAACGTTGGCAATCGGTACTGAGTTCAGAACATCGTCCTTCCTCAAAGACACAATCCTTATTACAGGAAAACAACAACGCCGCTCGAATTCTCATCCCGCCCTCCATTTCTGCTGACGAGCTTGAATCGAACGCTGGAACTGACCCGATGGAAAGCCGACCGCCGTCCTCCCATAATAATGGTAATTCTGATGCACCCTGCCAGCGCGATTTCCCTACGACGGGATCAAATAGACTGCGTTCGCTTCCGAAAGTGGATTTAGAACTGGCGTTGGCTCATCGTCATCGGTTACCTTCCCGAACGAGTCGAGCCACGATGCTCTTTCCCATCTGAGTCTCCAAGAATACCTCTCGTCGTGATCCCAAAAGTCATGAAGCGTATGGAGAGCCCAAACCATCACCATCAGCTTCTTCAGACCTTCCGAAGGGGAGGCGGAGTGCGCTTCGTGTCAAGTACGAGAGCACCCTAAGTATCACACCTTTTTATATCCCAATGCTTTCTGTCCTGACGAAGATCAGAAATACGCTCCTTCACTTGGCGGAAGGATGAGAAGCATGCGGATAACGCGATGGTTCGAACTCTGTTTCTCGATAGCCAAGAAGCCTGCTGGAGACAACGGGGGCCCCCTGCAGAGCAGCGTGGACGAGGTGTTCATGTGGGAGGCTTCGAGGACAACCTTCCCCTAGAAGAGCGGAAAATGGTCGTTCAGATTGGCAACCGGTGCAGAGGCTTCGAACGTGATGTCGAGATACTTGAGGATCGGATAGAAGAGCTCGAACTTCCAGAAGGATCTGCGAAACAGCGTCTCATGGAAGTGGCGTTATGGGTCAGATAATGATGGAAATGTGCCCCTGGGCAGGATGCCGAGGGATGGGAAGCACAAGATCGTGTACAATAATCTACAACGACAGTTGTACACCCAATTATTCTATTCCTTTCTGCCTCTAGTAGATCGTAGCTCTCGCTTCCTTCGGCCCTTCTTCGAGCCAGCGGCTCATCGCTTGTTACGGCCATTAATGCCATCGTTCTTCTCCGCAGCCTTAACGACTCTTCATAGCGCCCGTTTCATCTCCCCAAAGTCCTCAGACCAAAATATTGGAAGACGAAAATAAATTGAACAATGATAGGCCGCGGCCGGTGATTGCTTGAATGCCGCCATTGAAATTGGACAGCGATCACCGTGCAAATGTTAAAATGGAACGTTTGTTCGAACTCGTTGCTCATTCCAGTTCCGAGTCAGGGTCACAAGTTTGGTGGAATTGGGTAGCCTGTTGAAATCAGCATCAGTGCTCACGGTTAGTTTAGTTTTAATTTTGAAGCCCTTATTTACACAAATTAAATTACTTAGATCTGATCCGCAGTTTGAGGATCTGCAGCCGCGCCGTGCTGATGAACGGCTTACTGAGAAATCGGCTCGGAACAATTAACCTCTCCGTGATTATTGCCTTGTCTCTGCTCAAGTATTGGCGGGTTCGCGAGGAATACCTTGTTTATAATTTACCGCACATCGGGAGGTGCTCACGCCGAGTACGTCGCTGCTAGGCAGGATACCAGCCTCTATAGACGTCGCTGCAATGTCGGCGGCAAGGTGCACCACAGATGAAATCGCTATGGTAATATGCCTCCAGGCATCCATAGCGCTTATCTCATAAATATCTTGGAAGGAGGGGATATACCGCTCGTTCTGGTGACATGACAAAGCTTGTCAGGCACGACTTTCCTCCAGCGTATGACTAATGGAATGCCACCTCGGGGTGTCATACCCGGTTCCCCACCATAATCGTTCTTGGACTTTAGCTATCAATATTCTCATGGCCGGGTCTCCTGAAAACCTATGCAGGGTGGGCGCTGCATGTCCTATGACTGCTACCACGTACCTAAATAACCCTGCACTCGTGTAGACACAGGACAGAGGTAGGATATTAGTTTGTCTGGCAGTGCGGTCCGTCGGGCCCAGACCATTTGAACACAAGTCAAGAGACACGATGTTGACCTTGTGCCCAATACTGGTCAATGGGATACCCTACACAAATTACTCGTATTGCGCTCTCTTTATACAGCTTGTTCACGAACGAGACTCTACGGAAGACGTCGTACTCAACGGTCTGAGAGAACCAATTCTTCACAAGAACGCGAGTCAAGCGAGATAAGCAGCATGCCCGAACCACACGATGTATTGATGATCGATTCACAGTCACACAACATAGTAGTGCATTTCCCAACCTAAGGGCCGAGGTGCTCTGAGGGGTGGCTTGGCCTCTGCACGTTCTGCGGCCATGGCAACGTACTCTTGGGAGGAACAGCAAATGCTGCGAAGGCGAACGGAAGCCATTTGACTCGGAATCGGGGGATGCTGATTCACTGCTAACTGAGACGTGGTCTTGCCAGTGAGAGCGAAGCCATGATCCCAAAGAAATAACAGGTCTCGTATACAAACCTGGCCTCCAGATGATCACCCAGATTTTTCCATTTGAGAAAGATATTATTGATCGTGTAGAGAGGACTGGCAGTCGACGATGCTATGACTGACTCGACGCAACATACGGGAGACATTCTCTCACCCGTAGTGGAGGCAACTCTCAAATCAGAGCGCCACTCCACCAGCCGATTATTCCACAGTGTACCGTGGTCACTCCCCCACGAGAAACTAGCGGTACGTCAGCGCTAGATAGTTACACGGCATTCAGTAAGTAGTCTAGTATTGAGATTATGAACTAACGGCGTATAAGCGCTAGGAAAGTATGTACAAAGTTAGAACATACAAGACCCCCTTTCAAGAGATAGAGACCTCACCTCAGTTCCAAGTACGTGAACTGAGGAGAGAAGAGAGAAAAATTGCGCGAGGTGGCTTTTAAGACATCCTCGACTGCGTACATCAACATGGACTCCATAAACGGAAACATCGGACAATCCTGTAGGGAAAAGTCCGTGCGCAAGAAGTATTGTCCGTGGGACATAGTTGAGTAGTCCACAGCGTACAACAACTTCAACATCAAGAAGTGCGGTCTCACCTTAGTTTACGATAGTAGAACTGAAGAGAGTGAAAACAATCGCGATGAGTGGCCTTTAAGCCTACAACGCCGCCTATCCACAATCATGATAAAATGGCAATAATGAGCAATCCGTGGCGGCTCGCAAGCCCGTGCGCCTCTATAGTGGGACGTCGACCTTTCCTCTGACATCCCCGGGATAGATTCAGAATTGCTGCTCACCTGTCAAGCTCCATTTTGGGCTGGCCCCAACCCGGGGAGAAATGATGTTGCCCAGGCAAGGTCCCTAGGAACACCTGCCTTCCACCGACAAAGTTACGAGGGCACCTATTTTATATCCCAATACTTTCGATTGCGGTTTGGAATTAGTAGTAACCCCAGCCAATGGAACTACCGTTTTGCTCATCTGTCTCCAGTGAAGACCGAAGCGGGATAGGGAATGTCTGGATACTGTCCCTCGATCTCGGTCTAGAAGCTTAAAGGGCGTAAGGGAGGATTTTTAGGGCTTCATGTTCGCAGCGCTGGTGGGATACTCATGAAATGGTTTCGAAGATGTTCTGTAGCACCGCGGAAAATGATTTCCAGATTGGCAACTGGGATAGAAGTTACGATCGAGAGGGCTGAGAGGTGTGTGGATCTGATTGCTTTTTTAGATCATTCGGGTTATGCGTTAGATGATGTGCTTGTTGGAAAGACGCCGTGGTGCCTTTGGAGAACGTAGGTCAGACAAGGAGTAAATGATGGGCAGGATTGCGAATGGGGCTGGGGGGGGGGGGAGAAGATCGCATGCAATAATCTATAATTCATCTCAACTAGTGCTGTTTCGAGTGTTGCGATGTCATCGCCAAGAAATTGGGAGGCATGATATCCTAAATTACAGCGACCATGATTAATTCCACAGCCCTTTTTCGATCATCAGCAAATAAACGACGAGCGCGCACCATTCTCCTAAATCGTCAACTGGCTGAGTTGTGCATCTAAATCGGGCGTGCCAATTTTTTTGTCGCCTTCAAGTTCTGTAATATTATCATCCTTTTCAGCGGCCCCCTCCCTATCGTAACCACCGATTTTCTTCGCAACTCCCTCCTTACTGTGGCTATTAATATCGTCCTTACTCGAGACCCTCCTCCTATCACCTGAATTGTTCGCACCCACAGTCGAATCCATGTTCTTATTGCCACCTCCGGCCTTCCCTGCGGTCTTCTTGTCGCGACAATCAAGAACACTGGCCTTCCTCCTCTTAATGCGAACCCCAGCATCATTGTCCTTCATGACGATGGCCCTCCTCTTGTTAATGATTCGTTGTAGCGGTCGTTTCGTCTCTCCGTCGGGGAATGTCTTGAGATCAAAGTATTGGGAGGCGAATTCGAGCAGCCTAGAACAGTGAATAATAAGCTCCTGTGATCCCTTCAGTGCCGTGGCGCAATTACCATTCGCCCTGTACAGTAGTCACCGTACGGATGTAAGGTTGGCCGGTCAATACGAATTCGTTAAAGAGAACCCATTCCGGTTCCGAATCGAGGCCACAAGTAGGATGTAATCGGACAAGCTATTGGAACAGCTATCAACCCCTTGCTAGCACCAGCATTGACATGTGTGAACATACTTGGCTGTCCTTGACTGTTGAATACGTCTTTCGCTGATTTTCTTTGCGCGCGATCTGCATGAAGAAAGCGCAAACTAAGGATTTCCGAATATTGACGTAAAGTTTCTCTTGGTCCGTAGTGGATACAAGGTCAATATCGTGCTTCTCCATCATGGATTTAAGCTGTGTCCGTATGTTTTGGGCCTGAGTGAGCGCCCTGTCGGCCAAATAATTATTCCATGCCCATTTTTTATCTTGCATATCTATCCAATTGCAAGATGATCAAATATAAAACGAGAATCACGAGATATACTTTGCTTACTATGCATATAATTGTTATACACGTTCAGGAGTGTAAGATGGTCACTCTCTGGAATGGTAAATAGGGCTTTAGCTGCATCGGCTTCGGCGCGTCGGTCGTGGGGACGAATGAAAACGGCTGGGGCTATTATGACATACGGGGGTGAGCAACCACTGGTGATTACTTCGGACGCCCACATACCAGAAAGCATGGAAGCAATAGTTAGAACCTCATTGCTGCAAGAAAATTCAACACTTGATATCAATAGCTTCGAAAGCTAATGGACGAAATTGTGAGAAGTGGCAAGGGTCACAAATCCAATGTGACTGACTTGAGGATCCAGTGGGAACTCTGCCATGATTCTCCCGAGGTCTGTCAAATCTCCGTCATCGTCCAATGCACGGAGATAGTTCAATAGCTCTAAAGCACGCATAATCGTTTCCGGAGCTGGACTGTCCATGTAGTCAAAGTGCACTAAGTCGGTTATTCCGAGTTTAATCAATTCAAGAACAGTGTTGGAAAGGTTGGATCGAAGTATTTCTGGATGCGTCTGCTCTTCCAGTTCCGACATGAAATCCTTCTCGGTGTATAATCGAAAGCATTTTCCTGGCCGAGTTCGACCCGCACGACCTGCTCGCTGCTGGGCCGACGCTTTAGAGATCGGAGAAACGAGCAAAGATTCAACTCGGATGCGAGGATTGTAGACTTTCTGTTTCGAGAAACCGGGATCAACAACGTATCTGAAAAATGACTTACAGTTGGTGCGATTCGCAGGCTGAACGTCAGGGTACTTACACAATTCCATCGATTGTTAGCGATGTTTCTGCAATGTTTGTTGAAACGACTACTTTTCGTCCCGAAGGCCCTCCATCTTTCACAGGAGGTGGCGGGTCGTCGAAAATTCGCTGCTGCTGCATCGGAGGTAGTGATGCATATAGAGGTATACAAACCAAGGGTCCAACAAGATTGGGGTTGTTCTTTTGGAGGTCATCCGCCTCTATTCTGATCTTGCGACAGGAATCTTCAATCTCCTCTTCTCCTGTTAAGAAGACTAGGATATCCCCCGGCTCTTCAGCTTGATGTATCATGAGGACTGTGCGAATCGCAGCCTCAACGTAGTCTGGTTCGGGCTGTTGCGTATAGAAGGTTTCAACGGGGAATGTGCGGCCAGGGACTTTAAGCAAGGGGGCAAGCTTCCCAGGCTCCAAACTGAAGTAAGTTTGGAACTTGAGCGCATCGAGAGTGGCACTCATAACAATCAACTTGAAATCCGATCGTTTCCGTACGATGTCTTTTAGAAGGCCCATGAGAATATCGGTGGCTAAGGTGCGCTCGTGGACTTCATCAAGAATGATCGTGGAATAGCGAGAGAGTGTGGGGTCGGACATGACTTCTCGAAGCAGCATACCATCGGTCATATGCTTGAGGAAGGTCTTTCCTGGCTCGGTCATATCCTCAAAACGGATGGTATATCCCACCTCCTTTCCAAGTTGGACTGTAGATAGCTGTGAGATCAGCGCTACAAAAATATGGAGACACGTACCGTCCAGTTCGTCCGCGACGCGCCGCGCTACAGACATTGCAGCGATCCGGCGCGGCTGGGTACACCCCACTAATTTCCCTCTGGTGTGCGGCAGATCGGAGTAAACAACAAACTGAGGTATTCTTCACGAGCTCGTCAACCATTGGGATAGAGGTGGAGTAGGTGGAATAACAAACTGAGTGGTTTTCCCTGAGCCAGTTTCCCCGATCAAGACCATGACCTGAGTCTTCTTTAGCTAGATGCAGAGAGACGTTTGGCGCGCTGCGGAGATGAGCAATATGTCGTTCTTAAATTACCAAATCATAAAATTCGTTGATTTTAGTAAAAATCGGGAGCTTTTTTCGAGATTCCAAAATCCTCTTATATTTAGAAGAATAGGGTAGTTTCGTAAACGGATTAGTGTTTCCATGCTGAAATACGTAGTTAGACCGAGAAACCCCATCTCGGATATAATATGGCGACTGACCAAGATATTTCCTACTTGCTTGACAGTCACATAGCGTGGTACGAGTCCCTCCAATGGATCGACTTTGAAGGGAGGTGACATGCTTAATCGCTGACTGATTTGATAGTTCACCCTCAGGAGGCAAGTTACAGTTACGGTCACACCCAAGCCTTCCGATTAACTTCCTCTCACGGAAACCCATCCAGTTTAGAATGGATGAACGCCCACATTGCTGCAGGGGGATCGAATATATCTGCACTAAGATATGAACCTCCTAGCTTGCTGGCAAAAGAAGGCATCATCCGATCGAGCCACCCGTGCGTCCTGCGTCTGTTGCCGTTGGGTTGTAATCGGCACGAAACACAGGACCAGGATGAATGCGCATTCGTCGGAATGTTCGCAGGCGCCTCCTAACAGACGAGAATTCGGCCCCAGGTATGGAGAGGCCATGACGGACAGCGCACATATATTCCAGCAGTGCCTTTATACGGAGACTGTCCAGGTATGCTGCCAGACCAACTAAAGCGCGTTTATCCTGGACATTTTTGGAGGTGAGAAAAGAAATCCAATGTTTCCCGATTTCTTGTAAGGCTTGTGAGAAGAAAGACGGCAAGCCAAGATTCTTGACAGCTACTTAACGTCTGCTGTGAGACAACACCATTTTCATTTTTCGATGCTGGAAACACTTGAACCACTGGGCCAATTTGCAAGCGGAGAAGTACTCGGACACTTGGGCGTGTGAGATAGAATAAAAATCAGTCCTAGCCGTTCCCTATCTAGTCCCTTTGCTGAATAGCCTAAATTAGCGCTGCTAGCGGAGTATTCCATGTTGACAATCTTTCAGGCGTAACACTTCGATGGGTTTTCCTAGTGGTAAACAAACACCTCCACTCAGGAAAGCAGGAAAGCCACTACGCATTCATAATCCCAGCCTTGCCGTATTTCTTTTTATACTCATCTCCCAACCTATTTATCAAATCATCCGACGGGGCTGTAAACTTGAACTCGTTTGCCCACGCCTTCAGCTCCGATCTCTTCACTGGTGCTTGCCCGCCTCGCTTCCTAATTAGTCGGTCGAGATAGTCAACAGCATCGCTCATGTCATACGGGCGCGCTCCGGTTTTCGACAGACGGTCGAGCTTCGCCCCGAGCGCGTACCGCCATGGTGCGGCATACACTTTGAGCCCTGGGGCATTGAAGACAACATCATTCTGAGTCACGGCTTCGTCGTACAATCTCTGGATCGTGCCTTCCTGCAAAAATAAAGAGAAAAAAATATACATATACGTCAGTACACAAGGAAAGGTTCATGTGTGGGAAGGAGAAAAATGAAACGAACCTCGATGAACAGCGCTGTGTGGTTGTTCAACCATTGATCATCGAGCTTCAATGTCTTGCGCGCAGAGTCGGCAGCTGTAATCAGCTGCGTGACGTCCTCGTGCTTTGTTTTTGTGCGGTAGAAGAAGTCCACATCGCCTGTGGACGCGCGGGTCTGCAGGTACAGCGTGTTGACGGCTCCGCCGACAGCAATGATGGACACATTAAGTCCCTTGGCTTTGAGTACGCTTGCAACGGTAGTAAGACCTTGCTTGATGGTGGCAGCTGTCATCTGCACTTCGGCTGTCCCAGGTCGTAGGACCAGATCCCGGAGGGTGATGGTGTCATTGGCTGAGAGACAGTTGCCCATGGTGGATGTGCGATGTGCGGACTTTGGAGTGTTGTGAGTGATGCATAATTTATAGGAAGCTTGCGGTCTTAGACCAGCTGGGGTCTATGTTAAAGAGCCGATTCTAAGAAGACAATGAGGAATCATGGAACGTTCTTGCGGTGGCACCAAGGTGGCGTACTTCCACGCTGGCAATAAGGATAATTGAAAATCCAGTCACGAGCACCCCATGCAGAGCTGATCTCGGGCCTTGGGTAAAACTCCCCAGTACAACCACTAGTGTACAAGTGCACTCAAACTCCCAAATACTATCTAAGAAGGTAGGTTGACTGGCACACACTTTTCATATTGATTGGGTCACGAGTATGCAGTGGGTGCGAACAACATTACAGCAAGGTGCAAAACAAACGGCGCAACAGATTTGGATAATGGTCGATCAGGTCATGTGATCAATCCTATTTAGGAAACTGCAAGTCGATCATCATTTATTTTCTGCCATTTCTGGATAATCACATGACTATCACATGACCTGCACGGACATTCATCCAAATTGGGCGCGTCGATTTTTTTGCACCTTGCTGTAATATTCAACATTGCACCAAATTGCACCGATGACCACCAACCATCCCGAGCCCCTCCCACCGACCGTCTCAGACATCCTCGCAGATTGCTCCTGCGCTCGTGCCCGTTACACTGCCACACACCCTTCCTCCTACCGACGTTCACGCGTCCCCCCGCGTCTCCTCTCCCGTCTCCTCGGTGGCTCCTACCCCGACACCCCCTCAGCCTCCTTCTACCGTCTTTATGAGTTCTTTATCCTCGATTGGAATGTCCAATTCCGAAACGAGCTCGAGTACTTCTGCTGCGCCCACCCCGGCTGGGCCGTCTCTTCCCTTCCTGACCCCGCATACGCAGACGACGCAGACCCCGTTCGTCTTGCCGTTCTTGCTGTCCTTACCCAGTTGATGTGTGCCGCTTTCAACCGACGCATTGCGACTGGCTTGCCCAGGGACGCACCTGCTATCGTACTTGATTTTTCTGAGCTCGAGGCACGCCCGAAAGTCTTTGAAGAAACACCAGACTGGGCTAAGCGGGTCAGGCCACTTGATGAGAAAATTTACATCCCGAATAAGGACGGTCAAATGTTGAAGGAGAACGATGAAGATGTCAGTGAAGAGTTCAAGGCAATGAATATCATTGTGCAGATGCCGCATATTCATTTTATTTAGGTCAGTCTTTACTAAACTAGTGTGCTCGTCTGGACGCATTCTTCTCATTGCCCTTCGTTGCTTTCCTGTGTACAAGGGGCCTCCATGCTCGCCCCTCTTTCACAATCCAATATCCAATCCCTTTCTACGCGCGTTAGTAAATAAAAGTTTGTGAATGTGGTATACATGGTTCCCAACAATAAATAAGTCGTGCAGTGTTGTGAACCATTTGGGATCTAATTGGTCTGAACTAGTCGGGTAGTGGGCACGGGCCAGTGGCGGACGCCATTGCACGGACAGAATAGCAGATTTGTGGAGTGCTCAGCGACATCGTTCGAAGCGACTGTGTTACGCAAACATCCAATAAACCAAGAACGTGTAGGAATGTTTTGAAATACTTGTAAAGGAGTAGGCTAAAGCTTTATGCATGGAGAAAAGTGGGGGAATAGGGTTGAATTTAACGATAGATCGCCTGGTAATTGCACAATTGATGAGAATCATTGTTCATCAGTTCTCCGAGCAATGACCGCCAATCATCCTTGGGGAGGGCACGTTTACGTGATGGAGTTCGAAACGTCTTCGAAGAGCCGGCCAAAGTGCGCGAGACTAGCTTTGAGGCCCGGATATTTCGCACATCGGGCCAGTAGGATTCAAGCTCAGCGCAAGTTCTAGAAAGGTAAGAAGACACAGAGGTCAGCTGAATGTGGGCACACACAAACATGATATAGAATGTCGTCGTGTCTAGTGTAGGACGCACAGGGAATTTGCGAATGTCGCAGAAAGTGGTGATATATGATATTAACGAAGACATCTGCAGCGCCGGAGGCATGATAATAATGTTTGGCACTAGACTTTTCGCGAGTTCGAAATTGCGTCTTGACAGAGCACCAGCGATAATGTTACGTTTTCCGTCGACGTGGAACATTCTCAATTTAGTCAATACCGTTGTCGACAGATCGTGATTCGACACAGATCGTGATGGCAGTCATCAAGGTCAGGTTGTACAGATCTGTTGCACGGAGCGAATTGAAAAATTTGTCGAGTCGGTGTGAATTGCAACACGTTTAGGTTTTGGTAGGAGCGTTGCTATCCATTCAAGGGCCGCGAAAACAGTTATTTCTTCGTTGTAAAAGATGTTGAATGAGAAGTCAGCGAGGACAATTGCCCAGAAAGCCAACCCAATTTTGCATGCATCAGACCAAAGCTCCACGTCCCCTTCTTTGGATCCCCAAGACTCGGCACCCAGAAATCCGGACGCCTTCCATATGATCCACTGAGTCCACAAACTAGAGCAAGTCGTTGCGCACTTGTTTGTTCACGCAAATCGATTGGTTCATGAATGTTTTGTCTGCGATGTTACTGTAGGAAGAGTTGAGTGTGGGTTTAGAAGGGGGGATACATTGAAAGCTCAGTTCGCATACCCAAGGATCCGCAACCACATTCGCAGTGGTTGCCGGCATGAATTGTCTTTCGCTTCGGCAGACATCGAAATAGTTAACCAGGAACCCGATAATTTCGAGCTGTTTCCCAGACATAGAATTGTTTTCCGGCTTCGTGTGGAACCCGATGTCATCCAGAAGCGTGAGAAATCGTGCTCGATCCCTGGGCCTGACCCAGCCATAAGGGGGATAGAGCACCAGTTCGTGGCTGAAAGATGCAAAATACCAGGGATGCCATAGACGCGGATAGCAATCTAGCAAACTAATCCAAAGAACAAGCACCATAGCTATCCTGATGCCTGATTACCGAAGACAGCGCAGCGGTCAACATGCCATCGATCAAGGTTGCTTGCATTCCTGAGATGCATCGGATTCCCAGAGGTAGACTGGTTTTCGGCCTCCACTCTGCGCATTTCGGTCCGAAGGTTGATAGTTATTGTCGAGAGTGACGAAGCCCCTGGAATCAGTGAGTTCGGGGGTTTCTCTCCTGCACTAAGACGGAGCTTGGAGGACCCTTTCTTCGGTACGGTGAATACTGGTTAGGCAACCATCCCAGGCAGCAAGTCGAGGATGCTTCAGGCTTCGTGAGGTGGAATTTGGTTTGCGAGCCGACGAACAACTTCGTCGAGTCGTTGCATGGTGGCAGCACTGCGAGTGCTTCGGAATTGCTAACGGCAAGTTCTGGGTTTCCATCGAGTGGCATAAGCAGTCAGCGACGCAAGATCAGATCTATGTGCAAAAACTGAGGCGAGCGAAGCTGAAGCAGGGCTACAAGCCCAAGTTAGACAGCAGATGGTGGCTCACAACGGTGGGCGAACTCACGCAAGCACAGATTACTACAAGTGGCGAAGAAGTGAAGTAACTGTTCAGAGACTAGTTCTAACCAGGCAGCATGCGTGAGTTACAGGCGGGGGGTCAGTCGTTCAGTCCGATTGCGGCTGGCTTGCACACTCACGTGAAGCCAAAGCCAGTTGGCCTCAGTATAGCTACCAAGCCACCCCACCGTCCTCCCTGCATGCTGCAGGCACTGCTGAAGCGGAATCATGGCACCAATCCTTCTTTGTCTAAGTATCACCAACTGGTGTCATGCGAAGCTGCGATGAATGAATGGGGAGATGTGTTCCTTTCTTTCTTTCTTTTTTTTTTGGTGGAACCCCCGTAGCTTTCGCGGGCAAAGATTGCCTGGGGGTTTGTGGGGGAAGGCTGGTCCTTCCGGGAAGGTCGGGACGACGCGTCTGTATGATACTGAGACTGCCACCTCGGGGAAATGCTTTACGCACCGGCATTAATAAAATGCTCTGTGTGGGGCTCACCTGACCTTGGCGGGTCGGGTATACCCACTAAAACCCCGTTGCTCTTGAGCCAGTTCTCAGGGAGGCGCGCCTCGTTCTGTAGGATTCCGCTCCAGGTGTGTAGGACAAGTTTACCTGATATTGCGTTTTTGCGGTATTTTTTCCTATTCGTGAGGCATCTGTCTTGCTTCAGTCTTTCATTTAGGGTGGTTAGGAAGGTGCCGATGGCTTCATTGGGGGGGGGATATTGCCGGCCTCGCCATCTTCGTTACCAAAGACTCTTTTGCACCTCAGCTTCCACACTAGCCAAGCGCATTCTGTGGAGATGATTTTATAAAGTCGGGTCGCGCCCGCTTTTGTCCTTCCTTTGGAATCTTTGATTTTGGTTAGTGGGGCTGCCATTACGTGGTGTAGGCCCATATTTGCTGGCCAGTTGATTCCTTTGGTCTGGCCCATTCTTTTGGTGATCGCCGAGATGTGTTCTGTTATGGAAATGGGAATTTCCCATTTTAGACTCTTATGGGTTCTGTATCACATGATTTGTATAGTAATAGAGTTTAACCAATCAATAATCAACAAAAACCCGCTGCCACACTACCTGTTCAACAACATGTTAAACCATCTGTGAAACAACCTGTAAACCCTTATGTCCAACCCCCTTCCCTATTCCTGCGCCAGAATGGACGAAAATGGGTGCTTCCGGCCCCATTTTTGTAACATGTTCCTTTCATTCCATAATTTGTGCGACATTGGCATTGAGCAAGATGCATGGACATGTAAGAAAACTTGTTTCTTCTCGTTCAGGTCCCCACGATGCTGAATGACTCAATTGATGGTGGGGTCCTTCTCATTCCGATAGAAAATCACCCTGCTCCTTGATGAAGAGGAGAAAGCGCTCACATTTGAAACGGCCAATACACTGCTGTCATTTGATAATATTAGTCTCCAGTAACTAGAATTACCCAAAAATTCTATGCCCATTATACCAGGAGTGATTGTTGGGTATCCAAGAACTACGGACTCAACGGAGGAGCGCATTCTCCATATCTTTCCTGGTGACCCCACCAGCCCGGTCTTACGTAGCTCAGCGCAACCTTCGATACGGTTTCAGCGCTCCCAGCGGCATGTGCATACATAAGGAGCCCTCTCTATTCGGGTGGAAGGCAAACTACTTGGAGCTCAAAGCCAGCTGTTCAAAGCGGCGATGCATGGATGAGTGATATAACAATACTGTACTGGCATGACCAACAACTGGTCACGCATCACGCTGACCCTGCCGGTTGGCATTCTTTTGGAATTTATCATGCATCACACAGGCCTGCCGGCCCAATGTCCGGTGTCACGCACTTTGAGTAGATCCAGTGGCTGTGCAATTTTTCAATTCAAATTTTTCAAAAACCAGCAACTACATCGTTAAAAGCGGTACCCTTCCATCTCTGTCTCCAGGTTTCTTGCCCGTTTAAGCCGCTTACCCTGTCCCAACTCACCACTACCAACTTCAGACCCAACTACCACAGTGAATTCTCCAATGGATTCCACATTGTCCTCTTCAGCAGCATTCCAACCCAACTGAAGGCCACCGTTCACATTGGCAAGGCCGTCAGGCAAGGTTCCGGTGTCAAGATGTTCATAAACTTCCTCCAACATCACCTCCACATCATCCTCCATGGCTTCTGAGAACTATCCTTCATGTACCACCATAGTAGAGTTAGGATGAATCCCACAGTCACCAGTAGGATGCTTGCGTGGCATGGCTATGGCTTGAGCAAGGGTGGGGTCCTGTTGTGGAAGATCATTGAGAACAGCCTGTAGCAAGGGAGATGTAAGGCCAGTCTGCGAAAGATTGAATTCACCTGAACGGCACAGTTCAAAAGCCTATAAAATATTAGATGTGGCCACGTTATTAAGTATACTAGAAGCTGTAACTTGCCTTCTGGATTTGTTGAGGGTTATTTATTGAATAGTACACATCAACCAGAGTTGCAGGAACACGGTCTCTGAGTGTTCCAAGCCTTGTGTCAAGCAAGATATCGCATGGGCCAGCACCTCCCTGCAATTGAGAGTAGACTTCATGTATGATAGCAGTTAAAGTAATATGAGATTGCTAGCGAAGCAGGGCAACTCAGTCTCAACCAAATAATGCAAAAGAGAACTAGAATATATTACCTAGCGAAGCGGGGCAACTAGAGGTAATATACAGTATATAAGTATAGATTGAAATAAAGGAATGATGTTGCTAACCTCAGTCTCAAGCAAATAATGTGAAAGAGAACTGAGGGAAAAAGTGATTCAAAGAGCGGTAATTCCCACGTAGTTTGGGAGTGGGATAGTCCGAAAAGAATACAAAAGAATGAATAAATAGATGTGGCTGGCCAGGCGAGTTCCTCGCTCGGCCGTGGGAATGTGGCTGTATGAAAACTCGCACGGCCACGCTAGCATGCTGTTTTCCAACAGCAGTTTGTTGTGAATGCTTCACAGCAAGCTTAAGCATGCACTGAATACCAACATCACATGGTTGCCAAAGGCCCATGCTGTCAGAGACCAGGTTCAAGATGAAGGAAAGTCTCCGTGGCGGAGGGCTTCGGCCTCAGTGACTTATGCCAAGAGCGCTGTGCCTAGTGACATGTCCATGCCCTAACTTACTAACTGGCAATTAGAACTGAAGGGGGATAACTCTAGTCGATTTTATTACTGAAGTGTAACCTATGTACAAGTTGGATATATATATGGTTACAGCGAAGATGGGTCCGCAAATGGTGGAGCCGAACGGAGCAGAGCTAACGGGGTTAAACATTAGCTGACTGAATATTGTGTAAGAAACCACCTCCACCTAATGCAGGCATTTAGTGTAATGGTAACACACTCTTGGTACCTATGCAGGGTTCTGCGGTTCGACTCCCAGAATATCCATATTTTAGCATTTAGGTTCCCAAGACCATGTGTACAAATTCCAACATGGTGGACATTCTACGGAAGTCACCAAGCACACCCAAATCCGGTTGCTGCCACGTGAGATGGGCACGTGAAGTCAAGCATTAAATTAGCCGGCCTGACAAAGTTTCAGGGGGTGGCTCAGAGCACTAAGGACCCAAATCCAGCTGCTTCAGACCACATGATGTGGGGACATGTAGGAGATTAGCAGTAAGTCCAGCCTGAATATGAATTCAAGGGGTGATGGCTCACGGGCTGTTGGAAGCCCGGTGGTTAGGGTCACATGTGGATCATGGGCTCAATCCAATGTGAAGGGGGTGTGTAAGAAACCACCTCCGCCTAATGCAGGCATTTAGTGTAATGGTAACACACTCTTGGTACCTATGCAGGGTTCTGCGGTTCGACTCCCAGAATGTCCATATTTAGGTTCCCAAGACCACGTGTACAAATTCCAACAAATATTACTGACGAGTCGGGTCACGGGGTTAGCGGAAAGGCAGGCAATAACCCAGAAACGGAAAGGAGGGATAGGCCCGAAGGTGGGCTCTGCAGGGCAGGCGAGTGTATTGCCCAGTGGAGGTGGGAGTGCGCTAGCGGACGTCGGAGCTGTCCGGAAGTCTTTGGGGCTCTGTTAGACACTGGTCCGGGGTCGGCACCGAAGGTCGCCGTTGCAGGCCGCTATAGGCCGCGATGGCCGTGATGCTGTGAACAAGGCCCGAGGGTAGGGCATTCGGCCTCAGCAACTCTAAAGGGAGTGCTGTGCCCCCTAGCTGTCTCTTGGCCCTCATTTCAGACTCACTGGGGTTGCCTTGCTGGGGTCAGGACTTAGGGGTCGTGGTCAAATCGATATTAGAGCTAAGGTACAATAAAGTATCATACAGGATATATATAGGAAGAAGAAATGAATGGGAGCGGACCCGGGCCGGAGGCTGAAGGGTCCGGAAGCAAACAAGAAGAAGGAGCGGGGTTGGCCGCATAGCGGCCGGCAATGACCGAGGGTCAAAACAAACAATAACAGATAAATAAAGGAAAGAGCGTAGGGCCGCGATAGCGGCGATGGTACCATAGCGGCGCTGGACTCGGAGTTGGGCCGGAGTTGGGCACGGGGATGATAGCGGCCCTGTAGGGGCCAAGTGGGCGGGGTAGGGGAGTCGCGCTGGGCACAGTGCCGGAGGTGGACTCAGGGTGGGAAGGTTGGTTCAGCAGCAGGGGAGTCGGCCAAGTGTAGGGGAGCCTAGGGGCAAGTGGGGAAGTGAGCAGGGAGTCCTCAGGGAGGATAGGGCTGAGGTCAGGGCTTGCGCTCATGCTCGCATAGCGGGAACGGGCTCGGGCGGCATTGGGACGGGCGGGGAACGGGCCGGAATGCACGGCCGTGACAGGCTCCATACTTAGGGAGGCGTAGGTAATAAATTGAAAGGAGGGGGTGGTGACCATCGAGGGGTACCGAGAGGATTGCGGAATATGGGAGCTCCGAGGTTAGTGAGGAAGGAGCGGAGGTAGACCGGAGGGATCGGAGGGACCGGAAGTCGATGGCCAGGAATGGATATGACACATGCAGCCTCCAGGGATGTAATCAAGGATAATCCAATGATAGTTGTCAAACATCCAAGTTCGGAACTCAAGGGATGCATGAACAGACCAGACGTCGAGTTGCCAGATGCATTCTTGTAGTGGATCAAGCGACAGACGCTTCTTCTCAGCAGTGAAGTATGGGACAAGAATATTAATAACAAATGACTTCATTGTCCCCAGATTTGCCCAGTAATTGTCAGTGCCTGAGAACTCAAAGAAGAATCCAAGTCGAGTGGCTTCATTGTGGGAGAGTGAGTTCATGCTAGGGAGACTAGCCTTAGTTTTCCCCTTAAAGATTGCCTGGAATGGCAGAAGAACCCCACTTGCAGAAATAGCCACATTGAGGGTGAATGCTCGCTTCTCATCCAGGCCAACAGTAGAAACTTGTTGAGACCCTTTCCATTTGTAAGTTGAATCTGAGCCTTGCTGGTAAATAACTTGTGTTTGATTGGAGTTGACTCGCAGATTACCCAGAATCGAATAGTGATGGACAGAGTATGCATGGCAGGGGAGTGAGGCATGAAGCTGATATTGGGCATTGGCGGGGATTTTCTTGGAGGCATGTGTTGCTCGACACAATGTCCAGTTCATCCCCTCAGCAATAAACTTCCGAACCCACTTCATGCTTGCAGCAAATGTACTTCCATCTCTCTTGATGACAGTCCTGAATATCTCAGGGTGAGTGTACTGGATATGCGTGACAATCACACCACGGATCTGGTGGACATCAAGAGCAGTGCCTGCCTGTCGAATGTTCAATAGCATCTGTTTGATCTTGTCGATCATTTCTGGGTAGGATGCCTACATCATTTATGTGAGTCCAAATCAGTGTTAAACGCTAATCGTCCACTAACCAGCATTCCTTTTCGAGTGATAGAGCCACCTAGGCAGTTTCCCTTCACAACCTTTGCAAGCACAGCTGTCAACCAACATGGCCGTGACCCACTCTGATCAATCCACTTCCCCACTACCTCGGCCCTTAGTAGATGGAATAACTTCCAACTCCTTCTTTGACAACCTTTCACTATCTTTGTCAGGCTCATCTCCTGGCCGACTGTTTCTGCTACCTTGCCAATTATCGTCCAGAACATTGGTTGGAACCAGTTGGTAGCTACTGAAAACTTACGAACTCTCTGCCTAGAGAGCTTCAGATAGTATGTTCCTTTCTGCTGCTTATGTTCCTTTAGCCACTGCTGAATTGCCCTTTTTGGTCTGGACATCTCAGCAACTGTGGATTCTCTGTTTTGTGGTGTGGCCTGAGGCGTGAATATCAGGCATTTTTTGTGCCACATGTAAGTCATCTATACACACCTGTCTCTCTGCTGCCAGCCTTGCACGGTGTCGCTGCTGTCTTATAGTAGCTAGCTCCCGTTGCTGCTGCTGCCACCTCATTTTCTTGAGTTGTGCGGTCTTCTGCAGTTCTTGGGTTCTCTCATTCATGTTTTCAAGTTGGGCCAAGGTTTGTTCATGGTATTCTTTGTGGGTTATTCGGTGGAAGTAGCAGAACAGTCCAGTCTTTCCATCCTCCATAGGATCCCCCAGGCTCTTTTTCCTACATGTTTTATGGCTGAAGGCTGGAGCCTCCAAGTGCAACTCCTCACTGGGTGGCATAAGGTGAGTTGTATGCTAGCGTGCCAATTAGTAAGTTTGATTCGCTCTTCTTTGGCTGGTTTCACTCACGGTTTTTGTGTGACAATCAAGAATATTATTTAAAAAGTTGACTTGTAGGTGAGTTGCGTCACTGTCTGTGTGAAGTGGATATTGGGTCAGGAGGAGATGGTTTGCTAATGCATTCAATGCAAAAAAACTGCAAGATGTGGCATCATTTTGGTATGCCATTGTGAGTGAAACAACTCGGAACAATATCACTGGCTTATTTGAACACAAATAGGATGCATTCAACCACCATTGAATAATCCCTGTAGCTTCCACTGTTACTTTTGATGGACCAGTATGGAGGGAGTCGGCAAGATAGATGGTGGAGTCTTCCGAACTGATTATGAAGGAAATCCAATGGTTTTGATTAACATGAACGACGCTGCCACAGTGAGTGATCACTCCAGATATGAGTTCACCTCCAAGGTGACGGAGTCCTTTGTATGTTGGAAGGTGCTTGTAAGTGCCCAGAGTAGTGTTTCCCTGAGAGGCACATGCAGCAATGTGTTGGGTTTCAAGTGGAGACATGAGCCGGACCATCGGGTTTGTCATTTCCACATTGCTTTGCAAGACCTTGATGTGGTGAATGATATCAGTCGTGACTAGGCATGAGTTGGAGAGATATCGCATCAAGATGCCAATACCACTCCTTCCAATGCTCGAAAACCCTCGGATTTCTTCATTCCATTGGCATGAGGTAAGTGTCAGGGCCCGGCCTTGGACTCGGAGGCTCCCTGACCTCAACCCCCATCTGGCCTGTCCTCACACTATGCAGGGCATGAGATGTATAGTAAAAGGAAAGATAATATATACACTTGCCTATGTGGGGCATGAGATGAGAAGAAGGGTAAAGGTCTCATCTCCCCGCATGGTTGCTATATAAAGGAATGGGTCACATGCCCACAACTATACAGCTCCTGGAGTTGTGTAGTGTGACCCAGAGGGAACATCCAGGTGGCAGTGCCCAGTAAGCGTGGGAACGTTCTGGGCGAGTTGCTCGCCCAGAACTGTGGCTGTGACCCGTGGGAACATTCTGGGTGAGCTGCTCGCTCAGAAAGTTCCCACGCTATCCCGTGCATGCGCGTGTACACAACACACAAAGGCAACAACAAGGCAACAGTCAAAGAATAAAAGGTGGTAAAGTAGGTGGGGAGTCCGGGGCACCCTAAGGCAGGGTGCTGAACCCTGACAGTAAGTCTCTGCAGAGCTGCCTTTATGGCTGACCACTGACTATGGCACTGCACTGCCAAATCCCCTGCCTGCTGAAGTGAGTCTTTCCAAAGGCTCTGGAGATCCCATAGATGGAGGTGAATTCTCCAGATTTCAAGGATAATTATTGGGATGTGGCAAGAGCCAATCTCAACTGAGGTAAGAAGGCTCTCATCATCTGCATCCAACTTTGCAATGAGCTTCTTCATATTAAGTGGGCTAGGATGATCCACCAAGCGAACGTCACCTTCTGAGAGGATTTCCATAGTTGGTGGTTTGCTACTGAGGTGTGAGCTTGGGTTTTTTATGCAAGTTTGAACAGGAGGGAGCTTGAATGAGATGAATTCCCTGATTGACAGGGTTTCGTGGGGGAAGTAGGGTCCAATGAGAAATACATATAGGGGTATTGTTGTATGTGATAGTTTCCCCAGCACAAGCTGCAATATGGCTGGCAAGCACAAATCCATCCATAATACCGTGCAGAAAATTTGGACGCGTGGACATGAGAATTTCCATTTCAAAATTCAAATATTATCAAATTCTCTCGGATATAAAATAGAAAACCCATTGTCTGGTGTAGGAGAAATACTGGTCACACTATGGAAACCCATTATGGAAATATGCCAGATAAATCACAAAACCCCATATGACAAGTAGATATGAGAAAATAGAAGGACCTGAATTTTAACGAATTTTAACGAGATTTTACGAATTATTATGACTACATATGATAAAATGGAAGAAAGAAAATACTTCAAGCTTAGCATCAACAAGATGGAATTCTCGGGGGAATTTATAGCAAATATTAAACCAAGAATTAGGACAATCAACCAATATTTGACTATAAAAATAGCCAGAGAACCTCCATGGAAACTACTTTCCCATGTCTGCACATGTAGCCGAGGATGGAAGTACCACGGAACAAGGATTCCTCAGGAACTAATGCAAAATTCAAAGTCGTGTTTATGATAGGAAATGTAGATGTCCCCCAAACGGACCCAATGAAAGTAATTACAGAGAAAACTACCCATAAATGACGGAGATATGACTAAAACTCCTGGAAAACGAGGACAACGTTTTAAAAGCAAGCGCGAAGAACAACCAGTAACAACCGAAACGAGCTTGATGGCCCATTAGAAAGGAAGGGATCTAATCTTAGTCCACCGAGATTTTTATAATAAATGGATCACACATTAATGAGATATCCAATAATGGGTACAGTGACGTCAAAAGTATGAAAAATAGGGAACTATAGTTATGCAAAATTTCAGCCCAAACAGTCCAGCCGTTGTGAAGTTATACCAATGATGGGAATATAGAGATCTGCATCATGTTTAATGACACGTGAGGGTGGCAATGCGAAGGGAACCGGCCGTCAGAACTGAGATTCACACTTCAGCAGATCGTGAAGACCAATTTCCATCCAAATAAGGAAGAGCCCAGTCAAAACAAAGCATGGAAAGTGCAAAACAACCTTAGATCATGAGGGAAAAATCTGAAATAAATCACGGAAGCCCATATGAAGGATATAAACACCCGTGCATACCATAAATCCTGAACAATTAAACAGAAACAGCGCCTGCATACAAACGACTATGGGAACAATGCACGTGATTACTGAATGTGCATGCGAACTTTTACTAACTCAACGAATACCAGGAAATAGAACACAAATTCAGTACCATTGGAAAGGTGGGAATAAATGAAAATTTATGATACCAAGAACGTGAAAAACCATCCAGAAATGAATGAGATACAAGGACATGAAGTTAGAAACCTGAAAACATGTGGGAATACAGCTTAAAGAAGTCCAGAGCCCTAAATAAAATACATAAAAATATAATATCTTCGAGGACGACCTACTATAACAACTAACAATACATCTGGAGGATTAGGATGTGATAATACAAAGGGGAATCAGGGAAGATGAACGAAAACCACGAAAACCACTAAACTATGATGGACCATGGTGGGAATTTTAGGGAATGATATTATAATGAAGTGGAGAGCTATAATACATTCGTTTGAGCAATTCATGACTACTAGCAACTTTTTATTTCAGTTTTAAACCTGAATAATTCACTCATTTACCATTTCAAGTCTCATTTTAACTAAATGTCGCTGAATAAAAATGGAATAAATCAGCTGAAGGTCTCAGCACAGCCATATGCATATAAATGCGAAGTTTGAATTCAGAATCACCGAGTCATAGCAAATTTAATGGTAAATATGAGGAATTTGAAATAGGAAACTGCGACAAATGCAGCACAGTCAAGTTCTAATTAACCATTAAAAATACCTTAGGCGAGGAAGGACAATAAGGATTCTAGGTGCAGTCTGACTGCAGTAGAGCCGCAGTTCAGTGCAGCAAAGCGCAGTAGAACTATAGCATGAAAATTTCATTTTTTATTAAGTTTGAGAAAAATACACTGTGAATAAATCCTGTAAATATGAGGTAGAGCATGAAAAAGGAAGGCGACCCAAGGAGTATAAAAGGGAGACCCTTTCTGCAACTTTTCACCCCCCAGATTTCAAAGTGTAAACACAAAACAGTTATTTTGCTACTGTTAAAACAAGCAATAAAATAAGACAAAAATAAAACAAACTCAAGGGACACTCCAGACACAATCCAAATCCATTAACTAAGTAGAATCGTTGAAACTTCACCAAGTAGAAGATTTAACTCAAGTTAAATTCCAAATTGAACAACGCTACACAGAATTACACCTAGACAAATTAAGAAATTTCAATAAAGGAACAGCTCCGCAGGGCTTGGTTTATCTGTAAGTCAATTCCCAGAAACTTTAGACTAACCCATAAAAATAGAATTAGCCAAAACACTCGGATTGGTACTATAAATATAACAAATATTACTAGTACACTTCCCCATCCTAACTAAAGAACCAGGGAACAGCTTGGTGGTGGTCTCGTTTGAACCTCCCAACTGACCTTCCTTCATTCTCTCCTTCACCGGGCACACCCAGAGGGGTTGTGTCATGCAGTTCTGGCCTCGGCCTGTTGGCTGTCACGCATCACTCAAGCTTGCCGGTCAGATGTCTGGTGTCACGCTCCAAACTGGATGATGCATGACTGGTTGTTGTTGTGCCAGTACAGTATAACAATAAATTTGGACAACATATTGATTTGGTGGGAAAGGCACCTGATGAACGTGAGAAGTGTCAGAACCCCAGTGATGACTCAGTTTAAGTAAACTTGTGACCAAAACATTTACTTAGCACCTATTGAATAAGTTCTCACAGGGATAAGGCCATCCAAACAGGTCAACATTTAGTCCCTTACTCACAAAGTGGTCGGAATCAATGCCCAGCCTGTTTCCAAGCAAAACAATTAAGCTGCATCAAGTTGTATATATGGCTCCTAGCAGATCAGATCAGGATTAGAATCCACGGATTTTTGGAGATTTGAAACAAAAAGTTGACAAAAATTGAATCTCTGGTGGTTAGAAATCCATGGATATGCAGTCTAGGCTCCGAGATATGCAGACCAACCACTTTTGTTAGAATGTCCTTGATGGGAGCTTTCTAGCAATACCAAATTTGTTCATATTGGTGGAAAACTGATGGAAAACATCGATGTTGGATGCCTAATTTGGAAATAACAGGCCGGTGTGGTTAGATAGGACTTGAAAAAAACTGGAAAAAATATGGAAACATAGGAGGGATATCTAGGGTAGTGGGCGACATTGAATTCGCAGATATGAGGATTAGAAACCATGGATATTAACTTCTCAAAAGCCAAATCCGCATCCGCGGATTTTCGGATAAATCTGCGGATATTCGAGTGTCATCCGATCCGCTAGTGCTGGTACACTATATGTATGGCCCTTTGAAGAACTTCTCAGCTTGGCGTCGGTCCTTCCTTCCCAGTTCCCCAGTTCTAACTTCTTCACAGCCCATTCGCTGGCTGAAGCAATGAAGTTCATGACCAGCATCATTCTAGCCACTATATTTGCTTCCACTACCAGAAGAGCTCTCGCTGCCACCATTGGTTGTATCAGGATGCCAGACCACCCAGTGGTTCCTGATTCGTATATCGTGTATGTCCTACACACAGGCATAGTATTACACTGGATGACTCGTTCTGTAGGGTGTTGAAATCTGGTACAAATATGGAAGAACATATCAACAGTATTACTCAGATATCTGCCTGGAGCCCCGGGTTAGAATTTTTAATCAGTTACTGGTATCATGAAGCAAGTAAGTTTATTGGAGAATGTTCCCTGCACATTACGCTCATGTTTGTAGTCCTAAATGGCTACTCTGCACATGCAACTGGAGCACCCCTGACTCAGATTCTCAATTGCCCTGACATCGAGTATGTTGAAGCTGATGGAATTGTTTCCATTGGCTATGATGTCCATGAACTGGATGAAGAGAATGCAATGGAGCCCAATGATGTTTTGGTTGAAATGGAAGTTGACCCAATTGGGCTTGAAGGAAGAAGCCCTTTGGGGGGCGGAATCGGAATAAATATTTTTTTGATAGATACTGGAGTGAACCCTGACCATGACTGGTTTGGTGGCTGTGTTAAACTGGGTGGTGTAAGAATCCCTCCAAGCAATATGGATTACTCATACCTACTTTTGTGTGCAGACCTTCGGCCCAGGTTACAACCCCAAGGACCATAATGGTCATGGCATGCATGTTGCAGGGATAGCAATTGGGGTGGGGAATAGCCTAGCGAGTTCTGCCACTGTTACTTTGGTCAAAGTTGTGTCTGATGCGGGTGTTGGATGAGTCGTTGATGCTATATCAGGAATCAACTATTCCTATCAATTGATGGATCGTCCATCCATCGCTGTGATGGCTGTAGCAGCCCCATATTCTTGCACATGTAATGATGCCGTTAAGAATGCCATCGGCCATGGGCTGCATGTTGTAGTAGCTGCAGGAAATGAAAGAACGGATGCAAATGATTGGAGTCCTTCCTCTGTTGCTGAAGCTATCACCATTGGCAACATTGATGGGTGTACAGACAAAATGGCACCCAAGTCCAACTATGGGCCTGCTATTGATGTCTTCGCCCCTGGTGTCAAGATTAGAAGCACATGGATCGGTGGCAAAGCCATGACGAAGGTCCTGAGTAGCACAAGCATGGCAGCTGGACAAGTTGCACAGATATTAGCCATTTCTGAAGGTCGAGATGGTTCAAAGTCTCCCCCCAATCTAAAGGCTAAGTTAAGGGACCATGCCAAGGCAGTAGTCAAGGGCTGGCCACAGGTGTCAGGGGATGACTCCCGGGTCCCCATGACCCTCCCCTATGGTCCACAGCCCTGTGGTGTAACCAGCCCTATCCAGGGCACAACCTACTGTGGGTAAGAAGATGAGAAGGAAGCTAACTTCTCATCTTCCCACAGTGGCCACAATATCAGCAAAACTTCCAGGGATACCCGGAAGTCACATGAAAGGGTAGGAACCAGGCCCGGAGCATGCAGCATGCAGAGCGTGCATGCATGTGGGAAGCGCGGTGGGTGGAAGCGGGTCCGGATGCGGGTCCGGGTCCGGGCTAGTCAGGGTGTGTGCCCTGACAATGGGGAACGAGAACTACAAAGTTGAGGGCATGTTTTTGGTGACTTCGAAGTGGACACATGCTGTGTGACCTGGCTGCACAATGGTTCCCCCTTTCCTAGCTTGCTTCTTGTACCTAGTCATTGATTCATTTACTGAGTAACCTTATTAGTTGCAGAGGCTAACTAGCAAAGTTTAAGACCCTATCGGAAATGTCCGAAAGGCTGAGTGGGGGGTGACTTCCCCATACCGATGGTTGAAGCATGTGACTTAATATTACAATATTACAATATCATTCGGACAACTCCGCTAAATACAGCTAAGGACATAACTAAGTGGTTAGGCCTCATTGACCGATCCACCAAATAACAAACCAAGCACGGCAGGAATCCAGATCAACTAGAACACACCAACCCGGGGATGAGAAATATGAGAATTAAAGGATCTTTGGACATGGCCCCAAATATGACCAACCAGTTGTATGAAAGCAATATGCCATATGTGACACAATGCATTTGCAAGAGATTCTGGAAGGTCAGGGAAATCCATTTTCAAAAAAGGAGTATGACCCAAGAACCACCTATTAGAACCATGTGGCCAAGAGAGTGAAGTGTCATTGGAAAGCAGCGATGGGATGCACCAATGTCAGGGCATACACCCTGACCCAGCCCATACCCGCATCCACACCTGCACTCGCACCCACACCTGCACCCACACCTGGCTGTTGTGTCATATCCTGGAATCCCGACCCCATACTCTCCCACCTCATCACACCTTCCTAACAACCTCATCATCCCCTACACCATAACTCACCTCCCAAGTCCCCTTCCTTCCCAACTGTCTCAGCTCCGGCCTGGTTTGCGGCACACTTTACCTTGGCCACTCCCATCCCGGAAGCTCAGTCCCGAGTTGGAACATTCAGAGACTCTGGATTTGCTCCGACCTCCTGATGGATCTCTGACATCCTGTGACATACCTCTAAACCATTCCCCCTCCCATTTCACTTACTGGAGTCACCCAACATCCTTTGGATATGTAACTCCACCTTTGGAGTTATCCACATCCTCTGGTGATCCCACTCACATCATCACAAATTAGTCGCCTTCCATTTATAGTACGACTGTTGTCTTCTTTGCATTCAGTCGGCTAACTTCCTCTTACCCATTTCTCATTCCCATTCATCCTCTGGCCTTCTACTCTGGCCTTCTTGACCCAACACCTTGGTTCCCTGTTAAGGATATTGTTTGGGACCTTTCGGTACCTTTCAGTATCATTCGGCACCTTTCTGTCATATCCATCCCCGGCCATCGACTTCCAGTCCCTCCGGTCCCTCCGATCCAACTCCGCTCCTCCCTCACTAACCTCGGAGCCCCCGTATCCCGCAATCCTCTCGGCGTCCCTCGATGGTCACCACCCCCTCATTTCAATTTATTACCTATGCCTCCCTAAGTACGGAGCCCCGAAGACTTCCGGACAGCTCCGACGTCCGCTAGCGCACCCCCACCTCCGCTGGGCAATACACTCGCCTGCCCTGCAGAGCCCACCTTCGGGCCTATCCCTCCTTTCCGTTTCTGGGTTAACGCCTGCCTTTCCGCTAACCCCGCGAACCGACTCGTCGGTAATATTCAGTCAGCTAATGTCTTAACCCCGTTAGCTCTGCTCTGTTCGGCTCCGCCAATTGCGGAACCGTCTCCGCTGTAACCATATATATATCCTACTTGTACATAGGTTACGCCCCAGTAGAAAAATCAACTAGAGTTACCCCCTAGGTTCTAATTGCCAGTCAGTAAGTTAGGGCACAGACGTGTCACTAGGCACAGCGCTCTTGGCAGAAGTCGCTGAGGCCGAAGCCCTCCGTTACGGAGACATTCCTTCATCTCAAGTCTGGTCTCTGACACTTTCAGTGTTTTCCATTATCACTCAGACTTTGACTAAAGTCCTTCTCCTTCCTCCATATATAAATACTTGTAGATTAGAACCCATTGTACCCCAGTTCTAATCTCGACTAAAAGTTACCCCAAGTCCCTCTATGAGTGAATCCTGACCCCCTCCTACAAGATACCTCTGACACATGAAATAAATGGACTAACTGAGACGTAACGGAGGCACAGCGCTCCCTCCGAGTCGCTGAGGCCGCATCCTTCTTAGAGCCTCTTGTACCACTCAGCAGACTTGGGCTTCCTGGAGAAGCTTCAGTCCACTACTGGAGCTCTTGGAACCCCTCTAGTTGAGCCCCACCTGCATTTGGACTCACACCCTCTTTCAGGGTTTTTGACATGTTGCACTTAATGAAATAGGAGCTATCATGCATAACTCAGTCTCGTAATGGAGAACTAGTAAACAGATAGGAAAAAAATGGTATCACCTCAGTCTTGTAATGGAGAACCGAGGGAGGGAGAAAAATTACGGCATCCAGTGTAACTTATACAACTGGAGCCAATATTGCTTAAAGCAATTGCCAGTGACAACTGGCAATATAAGACAAAGAAAATTGGGAGTGCGTGGTATCGCGATTCTGAAACAAAAAGGATATAGTTGTTGTTAGTCATGATGATATTAAGTTAAAGTAAAAAACTCCCCAATCCACACTGCAGCTCGGCTGTTGTCAATGAGTGTTGATATTCTGACAGCACTTCCTGTGCGCACCCTGTGCCGGATGCTCCGTGCGGCTGGATGCCCTGGGCCCCGGGTCTCGGGTCTCATGTGACTTCTGGATATCTCCGGAAGTTTTCGATCTATTGTGGCCACTGTGGGAAGATGAGAAGTTAACTTCCTTCTCATCTCTGACCCACAGTAGGTTGTGCCCTGGACAGGGCTGGTTACACCAGACTCTGTGGACCATAGGTGTTACGAGGATGGGGAGAATTCCTCCCTTCTTGATCCATTCTTATAGAGGGATGATGATTGTTGTATCTAGTCTGTACCATAACGGGATGTGTAATCGATGAGTGTTCCCAGTCTTGCATGAGAGCAGATGATTGAATTCCCATCGATTGTAGTTCATGATGGAGTGAGCTATTAAGGAATTGATGGTGTGTAATTGGAGACAACAGGATGGACGGGTCAGCCACGGGTACTTGGCACTCCTCAATGGAGCATACCATGTGCATGGTCATGACTCGTAAGATAGGTGAAGGTTTTGTATTGTTGCCATCGGTTACTTGGCATTCGCAGCGCAAACATACTGGTAGCGGGTTGTTAACATGAGTGTACAGTGAGGAGGTACGATGACTGACAAGGGAGGGAACAGACGATGGATGGGCGGCTACTTGGCACTCATGTAGCGTGTCATATCCGTGCATACCCGACCCCGACCCGACTTCCGGACCTCCACCCTCTTCACCTCCGGAGTCATAACCTACCGCTGCCATTCCGATACTCATCTTCGGTCTTGGCAACACACCTCCCCCTTACCTCTCCGACCCTATCTCTGTCCGCTCCGATACTCATCTCGGACCGAACACCGCCCCACTCGCCACCCTCCTACTACTCCGCTCCCCCTTCACAACACCTCCACCCTCCCGTCATCCCCCTACGCTTCCCCTGTCCGCTCCGATACTCACCTTCGGACCTGACTACTCTCCTTTCCGCCACTCCCTCTTCCTTACCTTTCCCCTCTCTTCTCCCTCTGTTACTCCTCCGCCACCCTTCCGCCAAGTTACGACCTTCCACCGCTGTTCCGTACTTCGCACTCGGACACCACTCATACCTTACTCCGAGCCTCCATCAGAGTCCCTACCTCGGACTTTGACTCCACCTCGGTCTTAGTCCATTGCATTGGTGACCTCATACTACGTGAACACCATTGCCAATATCCCTCGGACTTTCAACCCCACCTCCGTAACCTCCGTAAGCTCCGCAACCCCCAAGCTTTGTGGATCACCTTTGGCACTCTCGCCGCTTGTAATGTATTTCTCGCGTTTTCCCCTCATCCCTATTTGGACTACTGCTTCTTCCTATTCTAGCCAGTTAGTCATCATCCCCACTTCCCCTCATCCTCCTGCCCCTCTGGGCCTCGCCCTCCCTACCTCCTTTCGGACATATCACAGGTCCTGCCTTATGACCTTCAGTACCGCTCCGCTCCTTCTACCCTTTGTTCCCGTTCGGACGTCTTCGTTCCGATTCGGTCACCCTTTGTTCTCCTTGTGCTTTTGCCCCTTCCATTATATATATCGGCGCTTGTACATACTCGTTTTGGTTTAGTCCGAAATCGACATGAATTCCCCCAAGAGACTTCCCCTCTGCTAGATCCGAAATTAGGGACCCCTAGGACAACCAGCAATGGCACAGCGCTCCGCCTGAGTCGCTGAGGCCAAGGTCCTTCCATGCTAAGTCTCCGATTCCACTCCGGAGTCGTCCGAATCCGCACGTTCTAACATAGCGAGCGTACCGGCATCACGGGAATATGGGCCTCAGAGTATTCACAATCTCTAAGATCGTTGTATGACATTGTCCGTTGGGCACTGGGGGAGAGCTGAGTGATGAAGTCCCGTAGGATACAGGTTCCATAGGATGATACACAAGTTGAGAGTCTTCGACTTGCGACTTCGAGTTCTCACAGTGAGAACCGCTAGAGGACTCGATATAACCAGACTTATAGGACATGTTGAGAGTTGTACAAGCACACAGGTTCAGTTGAGTCACAAGAGGGA